CCGCGACAGTGAGAGACCTGCGCACTGCGATGAAGAGTAGCCCCCGTTCGCCACAACTAGAGAAAGCCCTCGCACAGAAACGAAGACCCAACACACCCAAAAATAAATAAATAAATAAATAAATCTATTTTAAAAAAATAAAAATAAAAATAAAAAAATTAATGAAAATATTCCAATGCTGAGCACTGGCCAACCTAGCCTAGAACACTTCTAAGCAAGCCCCAAGGTCATACTCTGAAGCACTTCTAGAATTAAAATTAAAACTACAATTATAATTCATTTGACTCCCACCATGAACTAGGTACTACACATACATCATCATATCCTTATAAAACTCTTATAAATTAGGTATTATTATTTTCATTTTACATATGAGGAGAAAAGAGACACAGAAAGATAATAGTTTGCTAAATTCTTGAAGGTAGTTAGGATTCAAATTCAGGAAAGGCTTCAAAGTACATGCTTTTTCAATTATATTAAACTGGGCCAGGTTTCTTACAATTCGTATTTCAAACACTTACTAGGCACTTGTTGGTTGCAAAAGAGTATAGACTGCCTGTCATCAAATGATGCAAAATACTTTAGGAGCCTGTTTTGAAGGTCAAAAGGTGGGGGCCTCGTTCATCAGGCTGAAAGGCATGCAGCCAGGCTGCCTAGCAGGCATTTAAAATTTTCCTGATAAACAGGAGTCACTCAGCAACAATACATTCCTGGTTCACCTAACTTTTAGATTCTACCCCAAGCCTGCTGTTTCAACAGACAGACATCCTGCGCTTTGTGGAGATCAAAAAGAAGTCAGTGAGGGTATTCTCTGGCAGTCCAGTGGTTAGGACTCGGCACTCTCACTGCCGGGGCCCGGGTTCAATCCCTGGTCGGGGAACTAAGATCCCACAAGCCGCGCGGAGCAGCCAAAAAGAAGAAAGTAAGGTGAGGAAGAGGCAGAGGAGATGGGTAGCAAAGGGCTGGATTCATGAAAATTTGGCATAATGGCCATGGCATTATGAAAATCCTAATACTTGCTAACTTTTCACTTTGAATAGCCAGAGGGAGTTTATTAGTTACATTTGGACAGAGCTGATTTTAATTCTGGCTGTACTACCTAGCAACTGAATGACTTAGGGCAAGTGGTTTTTACCTCTCAGAGCCTTGTTTTTCCTTATCTGTAAAATGGGATGCAGTAAGGTCCTTTGGCAGAATTCTTCCCCCTCTTGTTCATCTTTGAGATGTTTAGGGCCCTCTTACTTATGCAGAAGCACTCCAGTCAAGCCACTGTGTGGAGAAGTAGCTATATGTAGACCTTACATTTCTTTAAGTAGCTTAGCAAGAGTACTTCAACCCTTCCTCTGCAGACTGGTCATGGTTGAGGTTGATCAAGTTAAAAGAGCAATCTAGGAAACTCCTGGAAAGAAAAGGATTGATTTCCTATCTCCTCTGACTAGGGTGGCCACAAAAGAAGAAAGATATGGGGGGCGGGGAGCAAATGGGGACAAGAGGGTGGCAATGCTTCTGAATGCAAGAGACAGCAACAGAGGCTGAGGAGGCTGGAACCAGTCCTGAGCTGGGCCATGGTGGACCCAGGGCTTCTATGAAAGTGCCTTAGTGTGTGAACTCAAAGGGCTGAGCCCTAAGAGCTGCAATCCTTGAAGCTCAGGCCTTTTGTGGCATGAAGTCCTTTCTACTGAGTGCATCACAGGAAACTCCTTGCCTTTAAGAGACCCTGCAATTGGCAAAGCAAAGGGCTCTGCTCCCAGACATAAATCTCTGGCTAATTTACATTGACTGCGGTTATCTCAGAGTTTAAAGGGGAGGAAGTTGAAACCTAGAAGGCATGGCTAGACTTTTAGACTTTTTGTTTTTATCTATTTGTATACCAAGGGGATTCTCTGGTGGCGCAGTGGTTAAGAATCCGCCTGCCAATGCAGGGGACATGGGTTCGATTCCCTGGTCCGGGAAGATCCCACATGTTTCAGAGCAAGTAAGCCCGTGCGCCACAACTACTGAGCCTGCGCTCTAGAGCCCACGAGCCACAACTACTGAGCCCACGTGCCACAACTACTGAAGCCCGCATGCCTAGAGCCCATGCTCCACAACAAGAGAAGCCACCGCAATGAGAAGCCCACGCACAAGGAAGAGTAGCCTCCGCTCGCCGCAACTAGAGAAAGCCCGCACACAGCAATGAAGACCCAACGCAGCCAAAATTAAATTAATTTTAAAAATAAATTAATTTAAAAAATTTTTTTAATTTAAAAGTATTTGTATACCAAACTACAAAGAGCCACTTCAGAGACAGGAAAAATAAATATTAGATGAAGTAAAGTTTAAAAGTCTTTCAGTACTCAGGACATAGCAAGTGATTAGAAATGGCAGACAGTCATTTCCACTGGGAGGAAGGCTCAGAAACTGCACTTCTGGTTCTAACCACAGCAGCTAAGCAGCTCAAGGGGAGCCTGTGGGGATATTTGGAGACAATCAATGGCAGCCACATTACAGAGCCTGGACATCTCTTTTCCTTGCCTGAGTGACTTCATCCATACCTTTGCCTTTATCTGCTCATTTTGCAAATATTTGTCCAGGATGCACTTCTGGGCACTGAGGTTACAAAGAAGACACACAACCAAAGAAACAATTCTAATATGGTTATAGCATTTTAGCCCTGGCCTCTCTGAGTTCTAAATTCATTTATGTCATTTCACTCAGATTGCAAAACAGATATCTGAGACAGACCTTTCAATTTCTCCTCCAAATTTGCCTAATGCCACCACATTGCTGAAGGCAAAACCCCAGAAAAACACTGCCTTAATCACTGTTACCCTTACCCTCACGGTGCATTTTCATTTCTCCACATCTTTCTTAAGCACAATGAATGACTAAATTGGGGCTTAGAATTCTAATGAGGGCCTAACATCAACTGAAGAGGAAGGGTAATTTCCAGATGCTTGAATGCTGTGTTTTTAATGAATAGATCCCAGTATTATGTGGGACTGTTTTTCCACAACAGTACAACATTGATGACTCATATTCAGTTTGTTGACAATCGTGACGTCCAGATCTGGATATATGCCCTAGCCAGACTCAAAAACTTTCAGTTTAGATGAGAAAGACATGAAGATAAGTCCTAAAGGTTTGAACCCATTTTCTGTTTGCGGAGGTGAAGGTGTTGTAAAGGTGTAGCTGAAACATCAATGTTCATAAACTACCTGTTGAACAACTGCTGGACGATTAATGATTTAAAGGCCAATTTTTATGTTTCTACAATCTATTCTCCACACAACTGCCAGTGATCCTTTTAAAACAAACCTGATTATTCCTTTGTTCTCAACCCTTCCATGGTATTCTATCACATTCTAATAAAATCTAAAGTCCCACATGGCTTACCAGATATACAATCTGGCTTCTGCCTGTTATCCAACTTATTGCTTTAATTTGCTGTGCTCCAGCCTCACTGCTCTCCTTGCTTCTTCTCCAACATGCCAAGCAGTCAGGGCTATTTTAATTGCCATTTCTCTTCTCCTGGAACAATTTCTCTCTAGAAATCCACACAGCTGCCTCCCTCATTTAATGATTAGATTTCTGCTTACAATTAAGAGGACTTCCTTGTCTACCCCATCTAATAAAGCATCCCCTTTCTCCTAATTTTTTTAAAAACTTGCCACATTACTGGGCACTAGCTATTATTTAGTAATATATTATGTGTATTGCTTAATGTCAATCTCCCCCCTTATTATGAGACAGAGACTTTGTTTTGTTCACAGCTGAATTCCCAGCACCTAGAACATTCTTCTCATCAAATATTTGATAAATGAATAGATTTTCAGAATACATCAAATGTAAAACTATTCTAAATTTATTGACATGAAGCATAGAAAAATATCTAGAAGAATGTATAGCAAAATGTTAACTATCATGGTGGGAGCTGGTTTTCACGTTATTTTTGCTCATGCAAATACTCTAACTTTTTTTTTTTTTAGTATGAACTTGTATGACTCAGATACTAAAAAATGAGTAAAGAGGCCACACAGGCATAAAGTGTAAATGAATTCTATAAGAGGTTGGGCAAATTTATGAAAGACTTCTAAATAGATGTATTAGCATGATGGTTAAGCTAAACTACTGTTTGAATCCCCTTCCCCAACACGGTCTAGCAGTGTGATCCCAAGTTGTTCACAAGGCAGAGTCTAAAGGTTTTCACCTGGAAAATGGGGACGATAATAATTAATGTCTACCCCATAAGGTTGTTTCTGAAGATGAAACGGGACCATGTATGTAACCCCCTTTGTACAATGCCTGGCATGCAGAAAATACTCGACAAATGGCAGCTATTATAATAGTAGTAACAAGAGATGTTGGGACATACCTAGCCCTCAAGATTGACATCAGAGTGGACCACCACATCCTCTCATCATTGCGCCTCAGTCTGGGCCCCTGAAGCCCAAAGAGGGGATGGTTCTTTCCAAAGAAGATAATTTCGACGTTCCAGAAGCATCTGAATCAAACGTACCCTGTGAACCCTTAAACCATTCAGGCAGTCTGGTTAATCCATGAGCAGCACTGCAAGCCACGGCTTCGAAAGGCGACCACCGCTCGCCGTCCTTGGGCCCAGTCCCTTAGCCTTGATTTTGTTCGAGGCTGCAACAGAGGTGAGGGGTGGGAATGTTAGAAAACACAAAAGCGGGGCAGTACCGGCCCGCTCCAGCTCACCGCACTCTAGAGCGGCTCAAACGGCACCACGCACCGGCAAGCCTGCTGCAACCAGCAACGCGCCCCCAGGGAAAAATGATTACTGGTCCGACTCAAAACTCAGACAAACTGCTCAAAGGCCCACCCTCCAAGGCCTCTGCCAGAGGCCAGACGCTAGCGCACGGGTAGTGAAGGGTCGGGGACGGAGGGAGGGGCAGCCGTTGATGAGCCGCACGCGGCGAGGCCGCGACGGCCGGGGCGGGGACTGGGCGGAGGCGGCGAGCGCGCGGCCCGCTCGCGCCTGCGCCGCGCGGGAGCGAGCACGCAAGCCCAGGGCGCGCGTGCTGCTGGCGTTTCCTCGGCGCGGAGGAGGGGAACGAAGTGAGGTGAGGCACGAGGCGCTGCGGGGCGCGAGCCCCAGTCTCGGGACAAGGGGGAGGCAGGGATCGTGAGGTGCGGCTGGGTTGGGGGCGGACTGCGGGCCCCGGCAGCGTCGGCGGCGAGGAGGGCGAGGAGGGCGAGGAGGGCGAGGAGGGCGAGGAGGGCGAGGAGGGCGAGGAGGGCGAGGGGCGAGGAGGGCGAGGGGGCCGAGGGGGGCCGAAGGGGGCGGGCCTCGCCGCGCCGTGGGGGAGGGCGGCGTGGGGCGGGCCTGAGCCCTGGGGCCCCGCCCCGCCGCGGCCTGACGCGCCCCGCCCCCTGGGCGGCCCCGCTGGGTCCCAGCCTGGCTCTTCCTGTCTCTGCTGCAAGGGAACACGAAATTCCCGTTCTTAGCAGACCCTGGTTGACGTTACCCCTTGTTTTCAAGTAGGCCCTCCAAGTAGATATTTCGGGTCAGTTTTAGAGGTGAGGTGGTCTGAGGCTCCAGTAGAATGACTTGCCCGAGATCACACGGTTAATAAGGAACGAAGTGAGGCTTCGAATCTTGTCCGCAAAACTCCCAAGCCTGCGCCTGTCCTCCGCACCACATCGAATGCTCTTCACGTTCCTTCCCTCCTCCTCCCAGTAACTTCTTGGAATTTGGCAGATGTTAATATGGAACTAGCATCCATCCTTTCATGGATGTTGGCGTCAGAAATGTCTCTTGTGTGAAGAAAGAGGAAAAAAGAAGATTCCGCTTACTGCAATATTGCGCTTACAACGTGGAGTGTTTGAGACTGTATACATCCTTTACTTGACCATCTCTACTAACCTCTGTTGAAGTGACGCTGCTGTTCACTAACTGTAAGACATTGTGCAAGTGACAGTCTTTCAGAGGTTCCTTTCCCTTCTTAAAAAAGCAGCATGCCTCAGAAGTTTGTAAGGATTCAGAGACAATCCATATACAGTGATACTACAGTACCTGGCATATGAAAAATATTCAGTAAATGTTGGCCATTATTTCATTATTGAGTGCATAATACCCCTTACTAAGCGCACTTTTCTTCAAACTCATTTTCCTGGGACCAGAGCAGAGGGGTAACCACTCCATTTCATCCTGGAAAAGACAAGTTCATTGACAGTTTTATGTGAGTGTCCCATACAGTTAACGATGAATTATTCCCCAAGCTAAAACTATCAGGTGAAAGAAGTCACTGCAGGAGAACTAATGATGAACTAACCTTTTTGAAGAATTAACATTTATATGTCCATTACATTTGTGTTTATTGAGTTCTTTCCTCTTGGCACTGTGCTTGGTGCTTTAAGACATACAAATTTGTATTTGATGTAGTCCCTGCTTTCATTTAGTCTAGAAATGGGGAAAATATGCATTCAGAAGTGATTCTCACAAAGTGGAATGTGAAAAATGCCAAAAAAAGAGATAGATAAAAAGATATGGGAGTATAGAGGGAGGGGGGATGTTTTCATGACTTCGTGTGAAATATGAGTTCATTTATGTCTTCAAAAAGATAACTTTGTATATAGTACATACCTATTAAATAGCTGTTCCAAGAATAAATTAGTGAACAAAATGTACGTTGTAATAGATAGGATTCCTTAGTTTTCTAGTAATAGACGTTCATTCAGATTAAAGTATTACTGGAACGATAGAGAAATGAGAAAAAGCAAACAAACCTACACCATTGGGCTACCCTTGGGGATGGGGATCTCAAGAGCCAGATCTCTTGGACCAGATTCTTTGGCTAGTGAATGAGCTCTAACCTGCCCTCTGTCCTTGGATACCTTACTCAAGATTCAGCTTTCAGTAAGAACAGATCTGGTTGCTTTAGCTGCTGTGGGGCAGGGGGGTGGAGTATTGGGATTCGTAACCCCACGAAAGCCATATGAAATGTGGGAGAGTCCGTTTCCCGAAGGAAGGAGGGCTAAGGAGAAAAGTGAGGCCTGGCAGAGAAAATCAGTTGTTGTTTATTAGAGATATGTAGCCTTTGTAGAGGGCTTACTATGGGCCTGGCACTATGGTACATTATCTATGTGGATTTTGATATTTAATCTTCAGCAACTCTAGAAGGTAGATATGATTGTATCATCCATTTTACAGAGGAGGGAACAAGCTTGTAGAGATAAACTAATTTGCTTAGCCTTACAAAGCTAGGATGTGGTACAGTTGAGTAAGTTGCATTATGTTCTCTTTATCTTGTCCCTTTAAAGTATTTCCTCATCCATGTGCCACTTTTGTTTGTTTATAGGGGGGGTCGTCAGCTTTGGTGTCTGTGTTGGCCAGTTCAGAAATCTCCTTGAAGGAGCCCTACATTGAGGAAGATCAAAGCAGCAGTCTTTGCCAACTGGGGAATGGACCGTTTGAGTTCCTTTAGCAGTAAGTACCATGGGAACAAGTCCCAGGTGAATATTAATAGCAAACTGAAGTGGAAGTTGATCAAAGAAGAAAAATAAGCACTTTGAAGATGAAGCCATGTGAATCTGATCCTAAAGGAATGAGTATCAAATCAGAATAAAATCAACCACTACTACTGAACACATGATACAAAACTGAGCACATGACACTCAAGGTCTTATAAGAAAATTAAGCTCAGTTGGACCATTCATAATACGATTAACCCGTAGTTCGACTTAAAAAAGCAGTTGAATTTCTCTTTAGAATCAATAACATATTTCAGGCGCCTTGGTAAGAAATAATGTCAGTGGTAGAATAAAGGAAATGCTCCTGCCCCTGCTTTTTTGGCACTTGTATTCTAAGAGTAAACTATAGTACAGTAATAGTGCAGAGATTTGTGGCGTACATGTGAAGTAAATCCAGGCAGCCACAGCTATGGAGGAAAAAATACACTTTTTCTTTTCTTCTGAAGATAAGAGATTTGGCAGAAATAGAAATCCATTGTTAGATGTTAGTAGTGTCCCAATGAGAAGAATCAGAAAGTCACTTTTGGGGTGTATCCTCCTCAGCAGTTTCTTTCTTCCTCCCTTCCTCCCTCCCTTCCTTCCTTCCATTTACTTATTTTGCTTTTGGCTACGCCAGGTCTTAGTTGCAGCACGTGGGACCTTTTAGTTGTGGGACGCGGACTCTTTGTTGTGGCATGCATGCGGGATCTAGTTCCCTGACCAGGGATTGAACCCGGGCCCCCTGCATTGGGAGCACCGAGTCTTACCCACTGGACCACCAGGGAAGTCCCTCAGCAGTTTCTTAAAGGGGCTCTAATATACTCTCTCATCAGACTCCCTATATATATTTAGGACAGAATGGAGTCTTCCAATACATGTAGTTCAGATCTTTCATTTTTCACACAGAGAAAGAGTCTAAATGAATTATCCCCATGCTGGGAGTGTAAACTGAAACCACTCTCTCCCTCTTTTCAAAATAATTAAAAATTTTTTAAAAAGTGTTTTTTTTAATATTTTTAAGCTAAACTTTAAAATGTTTATTTGGAAACAATTTCAAACAGGAAAGTTGGAAGAATAAGAATAGTACAAAGAATATCCATACACCTTTTGTAAACCTTTTACTCTATTTTCATAGTTCTCTATCTATAAGTATACATATTTATTTACATATATATGTATATATAAGTAGATATACATACCCCATATTTTTTTTTTCAGAATCATTTGAGGACTTAGGGACATACATCATGGCCCCTAAGTACTTTAGTGTTTATTTCCTGAGACTAGGGATGTTCTCTTCTAACTTCAGTACATTCTAGCCTCAGTAGAGTTGCCAACTTTAGTAAGTATAACACTGATAAAATACTTTTATCTAACCTGCCGTCTGTATTCCAGTTTTGTCAGCTGACTCAATAATGTCCTTGACGATGTTTTTTTTCCTTCCCGTACAGGATACAGTCAGGGTTCAGGTCTTGCATTAAGTTGCTGTGTCTCTTTAGCCTCCTTTAAACTGAAACATGTCCACAGCCTTTGTCTTTAGTGATTGACACTTTTGAAGAATACAGCCCCTTTCTCCCCTTTTTAAAACTAGAGGTGTCTCATTTTGGGTTTGTCTGGTCTTGCTCTGTTCCTCATTAGCGATGTTAATTTTTTTTTTTTTTTTTTGCGGTACGCGGGCCTCTCACTGCTGTGTCCTCTCCTGTTGCGGAGCACAGGCTCCGGACGCGCAGGCTCAGCAGCCATGGCTCACGGGCCCAGCCGCTCCGCGGCATGTGGGATCTTCCCGGACCGGGGCACGAACCCGTGTCCCCCGCATCGGCAGGCGGACTCTCAACCACTGCGCCACCAGGGAAGCCCAGCGATGTTAATTTTGAAAACCCAGTCAACGGGGGCTTCCCTGGTGCAGGGGACACGGGTTCATGCCCCGGTCCGGGAAGATCCCACATGCCGCGGAGCGGCTGGGCCTGTGAGTCATGGCCGCTGAGCCTGTGCATCTGGAGCCTATGCTCTGCAACAGGAGAGGCCAGAACAGTGAGAGGCCCGCGTACCGCAAAAAAAAAAAAAAGAAAACCCAGTCAAGGTGTGCATTTGAGTTCTTCACTGTTTAATGTCTATTTTTTCTCTTGCATCTAATAAGCAACCCATAAGGAGACACTTTCAGGCCATAAGATATCCTGTTCCTCATCAGAATTTCTCCCTAGTTAGCATCCATTGATGATTTTTGCCTGATCCAGTCTTTACTACGATGGTCGCAAAATGATTTTTCCCCCTGCATCCAGCACTCTCTCCATATTTACTAGTTAGCACTTAGCATTCTACTATAATCAAGAGACCTCCTGTTTCACTTATTTATTATAAGTATGCACGCGTGAATTCCTTTATTTTCAGTGGTTTATAATTCATTATCATACTTACTTTGGTTCTCAGATTGTCCTAATTTGAACACTGTGAGCCCCTTCAAGCCGGCTCTTGCAACCTTGTGACGTGCCCCATCGCTTTTTTGAGCATCTCCTTACTTTTTGGCATGGCTACATGTTCGAGGTGCATCTTCTACCTCCCATGCCCCAGCCCTAGAATCAGCCACTTCTCTGAGGAGCCCTTGGTCCTTTTAGAAAGGAGTGACGTTAGAGACCAAGATATGGCCATTGCTTATTTCTACTAGAGTATCTTGGCGTCTGGGCCTTTTTGGCCCACAGCGCTGGGAAATACATCGTAGGTATACGCTACGTACAGATATACCAGTATATGTACATAGTTGCATATACATGCATATATCCATAGATGCACTTTCTTAGAAATCATGAGTTCACACTGATAACCTCCGGTTCACCTTCCTAGGCTCTTTTTTTGTCCCCCCACCCCCACCACGTTCCTTGTTTGTGTGTCCTTTCCTCAGTGAAAACCCTGGCTCCCAGCATTAGCACGATTATTCATTTGCTCAGTCTTTTAATACATCCAGAATTATTTCAGAATTGCTCTGTGCATACCACTACATAACACAGACCCACTTCAACAAGGTCAGGATTTGTTTGCAATTCTCTGCATCACCCAAGACTGAAGGTCTGTTGTTAAATGTTCATAAGTTACTTGGATTGGTTCTTTTTTTTCCCCCTCCTCATTGTGGTTGTGATATTCCTTTGAAATACTTTTTGGTTCATCTGTTCGTTCTACTTTCAGTTTTCCCTTCCCATATTTAGTGGTTTAATTTTCTAATTTGTAGAACATAAGTATGCTTCCAAAAGTCAAAGCTATGCAAAAAGGTATATTTGGAGAATTGTTGCTCCTTCCTAGGTCTCTTCCACTCCTTTCCATTCCCCCTCCTCCAACCCTTCGTAGGTATTGTTTTCTAATTTATCTGTCCTTTATTTCTTTTTGCAAAGACAGACGTGTATATGTTTTTGCTTTTGTTTTCCCTAATTTTTTCCTGAAAAGGTAGCATACTATGTATGCTCTTTTGCACCTTGTTTTTTTCACTTAATAGTATCTCCTGGAAATACGATACTGCTTTATAGAGATTGTTATTTTTATTTATTTATATATATTTTTTGCGGTACACGTGCCTCTCACTGTTGTGGCCTCTCCCGTTGCGGAGCATAGGCTCCGGACGCGCAGGCTCAGCAGCCATGGCTCACGGGCCCAGCCGCTCTGCGGCATGTGGGATCTTCCCGGACTGGGGCACGAACTCGTGTCCCCTGCATCAGCAGGCGGACTCTCAACCACTGCGCCACCAGGGAAGCCTCCGAGATTGTTATTTTTTTATAGTACTCGATTATGTGAACGTACCATAGTTTGTTCAACTACTGTCCAGTGCTTGGACATCAAAGTAGTATTTTGCAGTTATAAATAATGTTCTAATGCATAACCTTATACTGTTGGAGGTGTATATTCAGGGTAAATTCCTAGAAGTGGGATTTCTAGGTCCAAAGATAAATGGATGCATTTATTTAGATAGTGCTAAATTACCTTCTATAGAAGTTGTGCCATTTTGCATTCATGTCAGCAATATATGAGGTTGCCTATTTCCCCACAGTCTTCTTAAGAAAGTATATTATGAAGCTTTTGAATTTTTGCCAATCTGATGGGTAAGAAGTTATATCTCAGTGTAGATTTCTCTTATTATGAGTGAATTTGAATGTCTTTTCATGTTTAAGGTCCATTTTATCTCTCTTTTTTTCCTAATTATCTCTTCGTGACTTTCACAGTAGGATTTTTGGTCTTTTATTTTCCTCTCAATTTTTAAAAGTTCTTTCTATATTAAAGATGTTAGCCCTTTATGATATGTTTACAAGTATTTTCCTCTAGTTTATTTGCTTTTTTAACTTTGCTTATGGTGTTCTTCGCCAAAAAAGAGCTTTTTGTTTAGTCAAATTTATTACTCTTTTATTGCCTCTGAAGTTTGAATGATGGTAAAAAGTCTTTCCCTACTCTTAGGTTACAGAAAAGTTCTGGAATCCTTTGTGAAGGACACTTTGGCTATGTGTATCAGAAACCCTCTGTACACTCAACAGTTCTAGTTCTAGGAAAATAGAAATCCTGAGGAACAAAATGTGAGCTGTTACGTGTACAGGAACGTTGATCTCAGCATTTTTTATAATAGTGAAAAATTGGAAACAACTTAAATATCCACCAATAGGAAACTGGTTAGATTAGTGGTTCTCAGTCTTATGAGACCCAGTGATTTCTTTTTATAATGTTTTTAAAGCCCCTTTTACTATTTGGAAATGAAATACATAGATAATATAACATAACTATGCCCGTGATTTCAAAGAAATAAAAATAATGCCCTAGGACTTCCCTGGTGGCACAGTGGTTAAGAAATCTGCCTGCGAATGCAGGAGACACAGGTTCAATTCCTGGTCCGGGAAGATCTCACATGCCATGGAGCAACTAAGCCCGTGCACCACAACTACTGAGCCTGTGCTGTAAGCCCGCGAGCCACAACCACTGAAGCCCAAGCGCCTAGAGCCTGTGCTCCGCAACAAGAGAAGCCATCTCAATGAGAAACCCGCACACCACAACGAAGAGTATTCCCCACTCGCTGCAAGGAGAGAAAGCCTGTGCGCAGCAATGAAGACCCAACACACGCCAAAAATAAATTAATTAATTAAAAAATAATAATATTGCCCTAACTATACTATAAAAGATAAATAAAAGAGAAGTGATTTGTAATAAATAATGTAATTTATAATAATATGTATCAATATGTTTAGACATTACAGTGGAAAACATAATGCCTTTAGTCAGATGCTTGTACCCGTAAGTCAATTCACTGTGCATATTACAACTACAAATGCACAGTGATTCACGTGTGTTGTATTGGTGACTCAAATACCACAAGCTTGAATAACTCTTAGTAAAGTTCTGAACAAAACAAGGTAGAATCTCCTCTTGACGTAATGCAGTTGCCTTCCTGGAAAATTCAATACATATTAAAACTGTCAAAAACATTTTGTTGTATTTAGTATGGAATTATGTTCCAGGTCATGTCATTATGAGCAAGTTTTCACCTACTTGAACGTCTGGTGGGACATTTGAAAGTTGTGCAGGAGACTGGCCAATTCTTTGTTGTGTAGGAATATCTTGAGTGTTGAAGGATATCTAGCATCCCTGATCCCAGCCTGCTAAGTGCCAGTAGTGCTCCCTAGTCATTGTGGCAACAAAAAAGCATCTCCTCAGATTTCCATAATGCCTTCCTAGGAGGCAGTTGAAAACCATTAGGTTAGATTAAATGGATATAATGGACTATTATTCATCCATTAAAAAGAGTGAGGAAGATCTATGTGTACCATCATGAAAGATGTTGACAATATATTATCAAGTGAAAAAACAGGCTATAAAATGTGTGGTATCCCACTTCTGTTAAAATATACACGCATGTACATAGAAGAAGGGCTGGAAATCAGAATGTTAATAGAGGATGACATACTTTATACTTCTTATTGTCTAAAATTTTTGAAACTATAAATTGGACTTTTACAAAATAATTATCTTTTTTTTTAACATCTTTATTGGAGTATAATTGCTTTACAGTGGTATGTTAGTTTCTGCTTTATAACAAAATGAATCAGCTATACATACACATATATCCCCGTATCTCCTCCTTCTTGTGTCTCCCTCCCATCCTCCCTATCCCACCCCTCTAGGTGGTCACAAAGCACTGAGCTGATCTCCCTGTGCTATGCATCTGCTTCCCACTAGCTAGCTATTTTACATTTGGTAGTGTATACATGTCCATATTACTCTCTCACTTCGTCCCACCTTACCCTTCCCCTTCCCTGTGTCCTCAAGTCCATACTCTACATCTGCATCTTTATTCCTGTCCTGCCCCTAGTTCTTCAGAACCTTTTTTTTTTAGATTCTATATGTGTTAGCATATGGTATTTTTCTCTTTCTGACTTAGTTCACTCTGTATGACAGACTCTAGGTCCATCCACCTCACTACAAATAACTCAATTTCATTTCTTTTTATGGCTGAGTAATATTCCATTGTATATATGTGCCACATCTTCTTTATCCATTGAACTGTCGATGGACACTTAGGTTGCTTCCATGCCCTGGCTATTGTAAGGAGAGCTGCAGTGAACATTGTGGTACATGACTCTTCTTGAGTTATGGTTTTCTCAGGGTATATGCCCAGTAGCGGGATTGCTGGGTCGTATGGTAGTTACATTTTTAGTTTTTTCAGGAACCTCCATAGTGTTCCCCATAGTGGCTGTATCAATTTACATTCCCACCAACAGTGCAGGAGGGTTCCCTTTTCTCCACACCCTATCCAGCATTTATTGTTTGTAGATTTTTTTTTTTTTTTTTTTTTGATGTACGCGGGCCTCTCACCGCTGCGGCCTCTCCCGTTGCGGAGCACAGGCTCCGGACGCGCAGGCGCAGCGGCGATGGCTCACGGGCCCAGCCGCTCTGTGGCACGTGGGATCCTCCCAGACCGGGGCACGAACCCGCGCCCCCTGCATCGGCAGGCGGACTCTCAACCACTGCGCCACCAGGGAAGCCCCTGTTTGTAGATTTTTTGATGATGGCCATTCTGCCTGGTGTGAGATGATACCTCATTGTAGTTTTTTTGTTTTTTTGTTTTTTTTTTTGCGGTACGCAGGCCTCTCACTGTTGTGGTCTCTCCCGTTGCGGAGCACAGGCTCCGGACTCGCAGGCCCGGTGGCCATGGATCACGGGCCCAGCCGCTCCGCAGTATGTGGGATCTTCCCAGACCGGGGCATGAACCCGTGTCCCCTGCATTGGCAGGCGGGCTCTCAACCACTGTGCCACCAGGGAAGCCCCCTCATTGTAGTTTTGATTTGCATTTCTCTAAAAAACAATTACTTCTTGACATGAGGGTTTAAAAACTCTTTAGGTCAGTCATTGGCCAATTTTTTGTTGTTGAAGAAAGTTTGAGGAAAGAAAAGCAAGCTCATACCATTAAAAGAAAAGGATGCGAGGGCTTCCCTGGTGGCGCAGTGGTTGAGAGTCCGCCTGCCGATGCGGGGGACACAGGTTCGTGCCCAGGTCCGGGAGGATCCCACGTGCCACGGAGTGGCTGGGTCCGTGAGCCATGGCCGCTGAGCCTGCGCGTCCGGACCCTGTGCTCCGCAACGGGAGAGGCCACGACAGTGAGAGGCCCGCGTACCGCAAAAAAAAAAAGAAATAAAAGGATGTGAGGAAGAAGGTAATTTGGTAAAAATGGACATTTAACATAAAATAATTTTTGTTTTTCCATGTCAAAATTTTAAATGGGAGAAGTGGGGTAGTTGCTGTTCCACATGTTTATTTTGAAGCTACTGCCAGAAAGATTACCTTTCTTTCCTCTGTCATTTTTTTCTCCAGGTCTTCATTTAGAAGCAAAAGAAAAGAACAATAATCACCACTTACAGGAGGGAAAGGTGCCTTGAAGAGTGTTTCTTGGACTTTAGGAAGGAAAATGCTATTGCAGAGTGTGAGAAATTCTGCCCCAGGCCAAACAGATTAAATCCCTTCTCTACCTTCAGAGCCTGTTTTCTTAGACTTCGGTTGATCACAGAGAACAACTCTGCTAGGTTGCCCTGACTCAAGAGTGGCAGAGTTTGGGACAGCCAGGGACACACACACATCTGCATTTTTATGACTTTAGAGAGTTTGGATTATACTCCTTGCCTTAATATTGCAGAGACAGTACTGTCATTGGAACTGGAGGAAGGTCTGCTCTGTTCTCTACTTACTGTGGGAGAAAGGGAGGGAGCTGTCCTGGGTTTAACTCCCAAATCAAATATAAAGTAGTACATCCCAAGACATGTTTAAAGGGTTTTTCTTTACCAACTTTTTATTATGAAAAATTTCAAACTTATAGAAAGTTGAAAGAACAGTACAGCAATTATTGCCCATTACCCAGACCCAGCAGTTATTAACATTTTGTCAGATTGGCTTTATCTATAACTATATATGTGTTATGTAGGTATGTGACATTATTTTCCCCTGGGAAAATAAATTGTGGGCATTATGAAACTTCCAGTTAAAACTTGTGTTTGTAAATTTCTCTGCAGGGGCAATATCTACTTGAATGCTATTTAAAATAGTAGATATACTGTAGGTAGGAACAAAGCTGGCCTGAAATAAAAAGGAACATAATTTTCGTTTTTTCTTATTTGGAATGAGCTCATCTTGCCTCCATGAACTTTTCAGCACAGCTTACTACCTTGTGTAACCATTTGCAGATTTTCACCTTCTCGCGTTTAAGATAATCATAAGGTGTTCTGAAGCTAGTATATTTTTCTTTTTGTTATAGATGATCCCTCTGATAAGCCACCTTGCCGAGGCTGCTCCTCCTACCTCATGGAGCCTTATATCAAGTGTGCTGAATGTGGGCCACCTCCTTTTTTCCTGTGCTTACAGGTAACTCTTTAAGGGGAGGCTTGCCTAGTTTTATGGATATAGTAAATTCAGAGATGACCATCAATTGCTCAGAAGGACCATACCTTATTGAGTCTATTTTTACCAGTCAATATTGAATTACACATTTTACCAGTGAAAAATTGGGGAACAGAGCAGGATGGATGAGATAGACTGTTGAATATTCCACTTCCCTGTATCAACCTAATGCTGTTTTTACCAGTAAATTTCAAGTATTGGGACTACAGGAAATAGAATTGGAGGATTATTCCTTTTGATAGCACCTATGACACTGTTTTTTGTCTTACTGAAGAGTGATGTTTGGGCAGGTGACAAACCAGGAAACAAACTATTTCGTTGATGATAGTGGTAATAGCAATACTAATGATAAGTGCTGGGCTTCCCTCGTGGCGCAGTGGTTAAGAATCCACCTGCCAATGCAGGGGACATGGGTTTGGGCCCTGGTTCTGGAAGATCCTACATGCTGCAGGGCAACTAAGCCCATGCACCACAACTACTGGGCCTGCGCTCTAGAGCCCGCTAGCCACAACTACTGAGCCCGCGTGCCACAACTACTGAAGCCCATGCACCTAGAGCCCATGCTCCGCAACAAGAGAAGCCACTGCAATGAGAAGCCCGCATACTGCAACGAAGAGTAGCCCCCGCTCACCGCAACTAGAGAAAGCCTGTGCGCAGCAACAAAGACCCAAGGCAGCCAAAAATAAATAAAATTTTTAAAAATTGTTTTAAAAAAATACTAATGATAAGTGCTTACTCTGTGCCAGGCACTATCTTGAGTACTTTGCATGAATTAACCTTTAAATCATAACTGCAACCCTAGGAAGTAACTATGATTAGTATCCCTATATTATAAAGGAAACTCAGGCAAAGAGAGGTTAAATAATTGGCTCAGGGTCACACAGCAAATACCATATTTTATCAGATCCAAGATGCTGTTGATTAAAAGAAACATCCCAATTTCAGAAATGTTAAAGTGTAAAAATGGCTGATGGAAGTTGTAATATACTTTTCATTATAAGATGAATCCACATTTCAGAGTTTTAAAATATGAAATAATACATGTCTTAGAATTGCTGAAATAAGCTAAGAGCCAGGATTCAAATTTAGGCAGTCTGCTTCCAGGGCTTATGCTTTTATAAAAGGAGGAGTTGTCCTAGGAAAAACTTTTTTTGAGATCATTGTTTTTCTCTATGTGGGCCATTGAAAGGCTGCGGTCATGAACTTAACCTTCCTGTTGTGGCTGCAGACAAGACTAAATGAATTCTTAAAAACTCATCACAAGAGTAAAATACCCCCAAGCCATCTTCTATCCTTTAAGAAAGCATTTCAAAACGTAGCTTTTTGGTAACTTAATTTTCTTTTCTTTTGCAGTGTTTCACTCGAGGATTTGAGTACAAGAAACATCAAAGTGATCATACTTACGAAATAATGGTAATGATGAAGTTGTAGGAATTTCCCTTCATTTTCAAGTATTATACTGGGAATTAGTCTTTTTATTTCTTCATCTGCAAGTATCTCACTTTCGCCCACTTCTGGATTAGGTAATCATTGCACAATAAGCTTTTTAGGGTTTTATGGATCTTCTAAGGCATTTAAGTCCAAAAAATCATTTTATATACTCAGATTTTTGGTTTAAATTAGAAGGAATTTAAAGGAAGTGCTTTTTGAGATTTACTAATATAAGGATCAGAGGTTTGTGGTTTTCTAAGTTCATTGATAAACATGTAGTAAATGTGTTGTCGCTGTGTTTGGCTAATGGTATTTTTATGTGGTTTGTGTGGGCAGTGGTGATATTTATATCTGGCACTCAACCTCCCCAGCCTTGGGAAAATTAGTTACCCTCGGAGAGTTAAGTTGTAAAATGGATGTAGGGTGAATAACATAGTAATATACAAAATCACTTGAAGAGAGGTAGACTGACTTATAGGCCAGAATAAGACTTGGCTGTAATTTGATTGTTTGCCGCCTCTAAAGAAGGAATGAGAGGCAGATGTTGGCAGTGTCCTTCCAATATCTAGCCAGAGGAATGGGCACTTTAATAAGCCAAAGTGAATATGTGGTATGCTTGACAGGTTTATATACAGTACCTTTGTCAGTTATCAGAGCCTAACTCCTAGTTCACCAAGTAGTTTTCTTACATTTGGCCTCCCATGTTGTTTTTCTTACAGGAAGGAATGCTGGTTGGGCATCTACTTGACAGTAATTTCACATCATGGGTTAATCCACTGATACATGTGTTAGTTTTCTCTTGCTGCCATAATAACAACTTAACCAAAAGTGAGGGAGCTTAAACAACAACACAAATTTATCATCTCACAATTCTGTTGGTCAGAAGACCATTAGACTCAGTGGTTTGCTCCAGATTCTGTAAGGCTGAAATGAAAGTGTTGACCTGTCTGGGTTTTTATCTGGAGACCCTGCGGGAGAATCCACTTCCAGTCTACTTCCATTCTCATTCGAGTTGTTGACAGAATTCACTGCTGGGAGGTTGTAGGACTGATGCTACTGTTTCCTTATTAGTTGTTGGCCAGGGCTTACTCTTAGTCTCTAGAGGTTCCTGGCCCTCATTCTCAGTATTCAAAGCCAACAATGGCAGGGAGTCCTTGAGGGTTACTGATGAAATGCTTGGCGTCTCTCTGACCTCTCCTGGTTCATCTCTCCTGTGCTGAATCTCTCTGACTCTTCTGCCTCTCTCTTCTACTTTTAAGGGCTGTGTGATTATATTGGGCCCACCAGCATAATCTCCTTATTTTACAGTCAGTTGATTAGTACCTTAATCCTATTAGCATAGTCACTTCACAGTAATATCTAGTTAGTGTTTGATTGAATAATCGGGGGACAGGAATCTTGGGGGCACTGGGGGACATCTTTAGAATTCTGTATACCGCAGCGCCGTAGCATATCTACTTCAGTCTCTTAAAAGTTTAGAAAGGGTAACTCAGCATCTCCAAGTCTGATTATTTATGAAGTCTTATTTAAGTGAGTTTCTGGGCCTGTAATGCTGAGAGTCAGATCCTGGTCCATAATGAATTAGTCAAAGAAATGCTCCTTAGTAAGAGTTCTTGGCAGCCAGCTGTCTAGCCTTCCCCTGCCTCTTTCTAAACACCCTCAGTCTTCTAAGTAGTTTCTTCACTAATTATAAGATTTGGAATACATTTTTTAATATTAGACTGTTTTTTAGAGAGTTACAGGTTCACAGCAAAATTGAGTGGAAAGTACAGAAATTTCTCTGCCCCCGCAAATGCATAACCTCCCCCATTATCAACATCCCCCACCAGAATTGTACATACATTATCATTGACCAACCTACATTGACACCTCATTATCACCCAAAGTCCATAGTTTACATTAGGGTTCACTCTTGGTGATATACATTCTATGGGTTTGTAGAAATATGTAGTGACGTGTACCCACCATTATAGTATCATACAGAGTAGTTTCATGTTCCTAAAAATCTTCTGTGTTCTGCCTGTTCATCCGTGCCTCCCCCCAGCCTCTGGTAACTACTGATCTTTTTACAATCTCCATGGTTTTGCCTTGTCCAAAATGTCATATAGTTGGAATCATACAGTGTGTAGCCTTTTCAGATTGGCTTCTTTCACCAAGTAATATGTATTTAAGTTTCCTCCATGTCTTTTCATGGCTTAATAGGTCATTTCTTTTTTAGCACTGAATAATATTCTGTTGTCTGGATGTACCACAGTTTATTTATTCATCCACCTACTGAAGGACATCTTGGTTGCTTCCAAGTTTTGACAATTAAGAATAAAGCAGCTATAAATATCCATGTGCAGGTTTTTCTATGGACATAAGTTTTCAACTCCTTTGGGTAAATACCAAGGAACATGGCTGCTGGATCACATGGTAAGGGTATGTTTAGTTTTGTAAGAAACTGTCAAACTGCCCAAAGTGGCTGTACCATTTTGCATTCCCACCAGCAGTGAAAGAGAGTTCCTGTTGCTCCACATCCTCGTCAGCGTTTGGTGTTGTCAGTGTTCTGGATTTTGGCCATTCTGATAGGTATATAGCGCTATCTTGTTGTTTTAACTTGCATTTCTCTGACAACATATGATGTGGAACATCTTTTCATATGAATTTTTTTTCCCTTTTGTTAATTGCAAAATGAATGAAGGGCTGGGGGAGAGTATGGTCAAAGTAGCTGTGGCTTTGAGTTCATTTCACCAGGGTTATCAGATCTTCAGAAAGTTGGCTTATTCTTCCTAAATTCACACAAGAATGCCTAGAATACCAATTTATTCATTTGAATTGTGAAAATAATTCCTTAAAGGATAATTCAGTATAGTTTGGGTAGATTGAAGTTATCCACTGCCGGAAAGCTGACCCTGAGCTCTCTTCAGCTGTTCTGGGCACCATCCCTTCTGCATAATGCTGACGGCACGAACTTTCACTCCAAGTCCACCTAACTCTTCAGATTACTTCATCCTTTTCTCACATATTCTTCACCCATACAAACACATTTCAGAATTCTGTCCTTTATTTTGTAGAGCTTTTGGAGGTTACTAATACTCTCTTTTTTCTGCTAGTCTTTATCTATTCCCAGATAAGGAAAAGAAGAATCTTTCCTTCCGTAGGAATGATGACCAAATTTTGCTTCTCTACACACGAAGCCACTAAAAACTTGATTTTTTTCTCTTTTTTTCTTTTTGCATATGAAGCCTCAGAAAACTTTAAATGGTTTTCAGTACTTTTGCCATCTCACAGCGCTGTATTTTTGGAAGTTGCTCATGCTGTAGTGGGTGGTGCATTAATCAAGATTTCTGAGTTCTTTGCCTATTTTTGTCTTATAATTCTTAGAACCTTAAACAAGTCAAGGCACCTCTTTCAGCCACACCCTTTATACCAGTGATTCTTAAACTTTAGTGCATAAGAATCACCTGGGAGATTCTTAAAATTATAGATTCCTAGGCCTCACTGTTAGAAATTCTGGTTCAGTAGGGCCAAGATTGGGTCCAGAAATTGAATAATATTGATTCAACTGTAAGAAAAACTGACTTATGCCCATTTATTTTTTGGTGTAGGAAGTCTTTCTGGTTTATCTCACAGTAAAGTTGGTGAGGACTAATTAATATTCTAAAATACTCTTTTAGAAATAACAGGCTTTTCAACTATGAGTTGTCATATTTACCTGTATTCATGGTACTTTCCAGATTGAGTGATTATTTTGAATTTAATACAGACATAGACTCTGAAATTTCTCTTTCGGATCTCGTATCTGAAATTTCTCATGTGAGGCATATTCCTAGTACGTGCGCAGATAAAATGTATTGCTTATTAGTAATGTAATTTCACAGATCACAGATTTTTTTTGCCATTAACAAAAGATAGAACAATTTATAAACGCCAGTGTGATCTGAGGATTTCTTGTGTCACTTTTTTTTTTTTTTAACTTACAGTAAATTTCAAGCATATACTAAAATACAGAAAATGGTGTTTCAGTTATCTGTTGCCCCTAATAGCTGCCTCAAAACTTCATGGTTTAGGGACTTCCCTGGTGGCGCAGTGGTTAAGAATCTGCCTGCCAATGCAGGGGACACTGGTTCGAGCCCTGGTCCAGGAAGATCCCACATGCCGTGGAGCAACTAAGCCCGTGCGCCACAACTACCGAGCCCGTGCTCTAGAGCCCACGAGCCACAACTGCTGAGCCCACGTGCTGCAACTACTGAAGCCCGCGTATCTAGAGCCCGTGCTCTGCAACAAAGAGAAGCCACCGTGATGAGAAGCCCGTGCACTGCAAGGAAGAGTAGCCCCCCCCTTGCCCCAACTAGAGAAAGCCCACGAGCAGCAACGAAGACCCAACACAGCCAAAGATTAATTAATTAACAAACAAACAAATGAAAAACTTCATGGTTTAAAATAGCAGCCATTTTATTATCTCTCACAGTTTTGTGGTCAGGAATTCAGATTGGCACCATGAGAGTAGCTTTCATTGGTTCCGCATGGTGTGCTGGGAATGGAAGTCCAAGGGGGTTTTTTCACTTTTAGCACCTCAGAATGGCTTGAGTTGGTTGAACTGGAATATCTTAACTGCCTGAGGCCTTTGGTTCCTCTCCAGGTAGACTTAGGGCCTCTCCCTCTCCATGTGGCCTCTGCACGTGGTCTTTCCAGAAAGGAGGCTAGAATTCTTATGTGGTGGTTCAGGGCTACCAAAGGCGAAAAAGTAGAAGCTGCCAGGCCTTCTTAAGTAAGTCACAGGTTCAACCCATATTAAATGGGAAGGGACCACGTGAAGATGTGAATTCTAGAAGTTCATTGGGGGCCACCATAGTAATCAACTACCACATATAGTGTAATAAATTCCCATATACCTGTCACTGGTTCTTAAAATTACCAACTCATACCCTATCTTTTTTCATCTAAACCCGTACCCCTCCAGCTTATTTTGAAACAAATCCCCTAGATATCGTATCATTTCATCTGTAAATGTCTCATTAGGTCACTCTAAAATTTTAAAGTAACTCAGTTCACATTTCTCCAGTCATCTCAAAAAAGCTTTAAAAAAAAAACCTCTGCTCTCTTCACACCTGAAACAATCACTATTCTGATTTTTATCACCATAGATCAGTTTTGCATATTCTAGAACTGCATATAAATGGATTCATTCTGTATGTACTCTTGTTTCTGGTTTCTTTCATTCAGCATGTTTTTGAGATTTATTCAAGTTGTATATAATAATAGTTCATTCTTTTCTGTTACTGAGTAATATTTAATGGTATGAGTATAGCACAGTTTGTTTATCCATTCTCCTGTTGATAGAGACTGGGCTTTGCCTAGTTTGGGGCTATTAAGAATAGAGCTGCTGTGAGGGACTTCCCTGGTGGTCCAGTGGTTGGGATTTTGCCTTCCAATACCGGGGGTCTCGTTGGAGAGCTAAGATCCAACATGCGTCAGGGCCAAAAACCCAAAACATAAAACAGAAGCCATATTGTAACAAATTCAATAAAGACTTTAAAAATGGCCCACATCAAAAAAAAAAGGAAAAAAGAAAGGGACTTCCCTGGTGGTGCAGTGGTTAAGAATCCGCCTGCCAGTGCAGGGTACACGGGTTTGAGCCCTGGTCCGGGAAGATCCCACATGCCGCGGAGCAACTAAGCCTGTGCGCCGCAACTGCTGAGCCCGTGCTCTAGAGCCCGCGAGCCACAACTACTAAGCCGACATGCCACAGCTACTGAAGCCCGTGTGTCTAGAGCCTGTGCTCCGCAACAAGAGAAGCCACCGTGATGAGAAGCCCACGTACTGCAACGAAGAGTAGCCCCTGCTCGCCGCAACTAGAAAAGCCCACGCAGCAATGAAGATCCAATGCAGCCAAAAAATAAATACATAAATAAATTATTATTATTATTTTTTTTTGTGGCGGTATGCGGGCCTCTCACTGTTGTGGCCTCTCCCGTTGTGGAGCAGGCCTAGCCGCTCCACGGCATGTGGGATCTTCCCGGACTGGGGCATGAACCCGTGTCCCCTGCATTGGCGGGCGGACTCTCAACCACTGCGCCACCAGGGAAGCCCATAAATAAATTAATTTTTTAAAAATACTTTAAGAAAGGAAAAAAGAATAAAGCTGCTTTGAACATTTTTGTATAAGGCTTTCTATGGACGTATATTTTCGTTTTTCTTGGGTAAACACTTAGGAGTGGAATTGCTGGGTCATAAAATAAATGATTATTTAACTTTTAAGAAACTGTCAAAAAGTTCCCTTAAATGGTTGTATCACTTTACACCTCAGCTAGCAGTGTATGAGAGTTCTGATTGCTCCACATGCTTGCCAAGTTTTGTTATTGTCATTTTCTTCATCCTAGTATTCTAGTGGGTATGGTGAATGTGTAGTGGTATCATCATTTTTCTTTTACCTTTTACAGTGCTATTTGGAATTCAGATATGGTCCATACATTCCAATTGATTGCCTCATATATTTATCCTGTGGGTTCTCCCTCTCCTTCCCTTCCTTCTCTCACTCTTTCTCTTGTTTCATATAGTTTGATTGTTTAAAAACCTGGGTTTATCTTATGGATGTTACTGCAGTCTAGATTTTGCTGATTAACGTGTTCCTCTGACTTCTGTGTTTCCTATAAATCAGTAGTTAATATATACTGGCTATATCAGACTCATTCATGATCATTGTTTAGATCTTTTCTTCTGGGATTGCAAAATACATAGTTATCTTTCAATTCTATCACTCCTTTTAATTTATGAGATTAAATAATTCTATAAAAAGAAAGTTCATTATCTATGTGGTCACCCTGAGGTAAAGTTTGTACAGAAGGGCAGGATAAATTATTTCCATTATTTACTAGTTTTCAAAGTATGAGCTGGTTCCCTGGCATCCTCTAGATATTTAGAATGTTTAATGTGTTGTGATCCTTTGCAGTTCTTATTAATGTTCAGAATGTTCCATTTTTGGTCAGTGGGAGCCTCTACAAGTTGACCTCTGAATCCTTTTGACAGGACTCTTTTCGTCTTTGAGAGTTTCTTTGATTTCCAGTGTAATGAAGTGTTCCAGTCTCATCTTGTACATTTCCTACCCAAACCTGGAATTGCCTTTTTCTTCAAGGAGCCCTGGTTCCTTTAGTGGGAAATTGTATTTAGAGACCACATACTGGGTACTAGAAGTGTTCATTGCTACTGGGTTAGTCATTTTTTCTAGACCTTTTCATTGAACAGTGATAGGAATTTTTTTAAAATTTCTTATACAATTTTTAAAGGTGACAACGTCATTTACAGTTATTACAAAATATTGGCTGTGTTTCTTGTGTTGTACAATACATCCTTGTAGCCTCTCTTACACCCAGTAGTTTGTACCTCCCACTCCTCCACCCTTGTATTGTGCCCCCCTCTCCCCCACTGGTAATCACTAGTTCTCTATATAGGAAATTATTGTTTTAAGACAAATACATCATGAGTTCATACTAAAACTTTCTTGTTTTTAAAACTTATTTATTAATTTAATTTATTTTATTTTTTTGGCTGCGTTGGGTCTTCATTGCTGCGTGCGGGCTTTCTCTAGCTACAGTGAGTGGGGGCTGTTCTTTGTTGCAGTTCCCGGGCTTCTCATTGCGGTGGCTTCTCTTGTTGCGGAGCATGGGCTCTAGGCACGCGGGCTTCAGCAGTTGTGGCACACGGGCTCAGTAGTTGTGGCTTGTGGGCTCTAGAGCACCGGCTCAGTAGTTGTGACGCACGGGCTTATTTGCTCCTCAGCATGTGGGATCTTCCCGGACCAGGGCTCGAACCCGTGTCCCCTGCATTGGCAGGCGGATTCTTAACCACTGTGCCACCAGGGAAGTCCCCATACTAAAACTTTCAATTCAAATAACAAGACTACATGGTTTTACATAGCCTCATAGATCTTACATCTCTTTTTTTTCCCCAAGCTCCAAGTCCCACTGCGCAGTGACACCAATACAGTTACTTATTTGCTTTACCCCACAGCATATCAACATGTAATAATCTCAGAACAACTGTACCAACACTACTTGAAAACAGTTTAAGATTTTTTTGGCAGTTCCTTTTACTTTTAAGGTATATTCTACTAGAAATAAATAGTCAATTTACTGTGTTTTACAGTCACTTGGGATTGTTTCTTCCTGTGTGATTATGCCTTAAAATTAATTCACAGGTTTATGTTATTTTGCTTTTGATTCTTATGATTTTAAAATTTAATAGTTAATGTACAGTATTTATGTTTTCAAAGTCAAGTCTACAAACAAGGAATATTCAGAGAGGTCCAGCTTCTATCATTGTCCTTTCCACCCTATTTCCTCCCTCCCTCCCCCATAAGTAACCTTGGTTTTAATATATGGTTTATTCTTGCATTTTAAATGATAGATATATGCATATTTGTATTCCTATCTTTCTTAGCTAAATGGGAACATACTATAATACTTATCTTTACCTTTTTGCTAAGTTTAAAAAACATATATTTCTGCCTGAGTTACAGTGGCATTTATGGTTGATAATATTTATTGTAGACTCTTGTAGCTAATGGTGGAAGTAGAGGTGGGGGGGTGTGGACAGCTAATAAGAATGTACTTTAGGCACCTCTCAATACCATGAGAATGACAGCCATTTGACTATAATTAGGATTACATTTGGGGTTGCCGGGTTCCATTTCTGTGTCTGTTCTTAGGCCAAACTTTTTCTTCCTTAGACCTCAGATTTTCCTGTTCTTGACCCCAGCTGGACTGCTCAAGAAGAAATGGCCCTTTTAGAAGCTGTGATGGACTGTGGCTTTGGAAATTGGTAAGAACTTGGGAGTAAGGGTTCTCCTGCGCTAGTGGGCTCCAAAAAGAAGGTGCTGTTGAGGGTAAAAGGAGGAGCCTCAGGAAAAGGAGTTTGGGGGCCATATGTTGCTTTTCTATTGACCCATGACTTAGAGACAAGTCCTCTTCCCCCCTGCACATTATTTTCCAAGGTCTAAATGCCTCACAGGGCTATGAGATGTTTAGTGGTCCATGACTTGACAGCTCTAAAGGGCTGCTTTGGACATATCCACACGCGGAAGGTTGGTTATTCCTTTCTGAATAGTGGGGAAGTTTAGACTTATTAGTTATTGCTCCTTTCTGATTTCTGAATTTTTCTTGGCTGTAGATGCCCTTGTCATTTAAGTGGGTCAGACTTTAGACAACCATGGCTTACCTGAGATTCAAGTTTGACAGACTGCCTATCCTCATTCCCTGTTTTTAGCTTGTAGATACCTGCAAGAACTGAATAGCACTCATGGCTGTTGCCATGTGAGGTGACACTGCTTACTAATAATACCACCACTTTCATTTTTACCTTTTGGGAGTACTTTCACACCGATGATTTCATTTTGTGAACTAGATCGCAGAGGCATTTTTTTTTTTAAATGATTTTATTTATTTATTTAGTTAGTTATTTTGGCTGAGTTGGGTATTTCTTGTGTTGCACGGGCTTCCCATGGCAGTGGCTTCTCTTGTTGAGGAGCATGGGTTCTAGGCACGCGGGCTTCAGTAGTTGTGGGTCATGGGCTTAGTTGTTCCACAGCATGTGGGATCTTCCCGGACCAGGGATCGAACATGTGTCACCTGCCTTGGCAGGTGGATTCTTAACCAATGCAGCACCAGGGAAGTCCCAGCAGAGGCTTTTTTTTTTTTTTTTGCGGTACGCAGGCCTCTCACTGCTGTGGCCTCTCCTGTTGTGGAGCACAGGCTCCGGATGCGCAGGCTCAGCGGCCATGGCTCATGGGCCCAGCCGCTCCGTGTCATGTGGCACCTTCCTGGACCGGGACACAAACCCGTGTCCACTGCATCGGCAGGCAGACTCTCAACCACTGCGCCACCAGGGAAGCCCCAGAGGCATTTTTAAATATATTTTGTTCATGAAGAATCTGAAGCTTAGGGAGTTAAAATGACTTCTTACGACCACATAGTTTATTAGTGAAGGGCCCTTAACTAGCTCTTCCTTGTCCTGACTTCCTAGTGTAGATAATCTATCCTGATGTTAATAGAATATACTGTGCTGCCTCCCTTCCGTCCAGGGCCTTGAAGAAGGAGAGTTGAGTTCAGTTCACATTTTGCTCATATCCATTCATTCAACATTTATTAAGTATCATAAAATACTGTTTACTATGGGAATACCAAAGTAGATAGGAAAAGTGATCATTCGCTTGCTAGTTACCTTTGGCCTGGTTTTTCCCTTTTTGCCTACCATTCTAACTGTAAAATAGGCTAATCCTCTTTGTCCCCCTTCCCTCTCAGCGAAGACCACAAAAAGACCATTGTTTCTCTATCCGCTGTGGGTAAGACACTAAGCTTAGTGGTGAGGATGCTAGAGCCAAGAATTATGACATGTATCCTGACCTCAAGAAGCTTATAGTCTAGTAGGGGAATCAAAATATATGTACAGATGATTGAAGTACACAAAGCAGAGCATAGTAATGGCTTAGGAGAAGGACAAGTGAAGTACTGTGGAAGAGAGAAGTTGAGAGCAGACTTGGAGAGGTTTCACCTCTACCTTTCCATCATCTGGGCCAGGAGTCAGAGGTCTTAAGTAAAACTTAAGTAGCTTTGTCACTTATGTGCTTTGTGTTCTTAAGCAAGTTTCTTAATCTCTTTGGGCCTCATTTTTTCATCTGTGAAATTGAGATAGTAAATACACTACATAGTTAATACTAGGATTTATTTAAATTATGTTGTGAATATTTCTAGCTGAGAGCTTGGTCTGTCGTGAGAGCTGTAGTAAAGAAATGTCTGTTCATGTGAAGTGTTTTGTAAACTATAAAACATGTGAATATAAAACTATTCTTGGGGCTTCCCTGGTGGCACAGTGGTTGAGAGTCTGCCTGCCGATGCAGGGGACATGGGTTTGTGCCCCGGTCCGTGAGGATCCCACGTGCCGTGGAGCGGCTGAGCCCGTGAGCCATGGCCGTTGAGCCTGCGCGTCCGGAGCCTGTGCTCCACAACGGGAGAGGCCACAACAGTGAGAGGCCCGCGTACCGCAAAAAAAAAAAACAAAAAACTAATGTACATTTTGAATGTTCTGAAGTGGCTTATTATTATTTATAGCAATTCTTTCGGTGGAGCCTAGCTTACATATTTTCTAGTGGTCTTCCTTTCTTTTGGTAGAAAGGAAAGGGCTTTTTATTTTTTTGGCCATGCCGTAAGGCATGTGGGATCTCCGTTTCCGGATCAGGGATCGAACTCGCACCCCCTGCATTGGAAGGGCAGAGTCTTAACCAGTGGACCGCCAGGGAAGTCCAGGAAAGGGCTTTTTAAATATTGTTTCCGTATCTCGGAATAGCAGGATTTGGAACATCAGATTGCACCAGTACTATGTTTGTATTTGTCTCAGTGTTCTGCTGATAGCTCCCTGATATCAGTTTGGAGGTGTCAAGTTCCAGACATTATATAGGTAGGACTTAAAATATGGAAAGAACAAACCATGCTTTGACCATTATGTATAAATGAAAGCACTACTTCCTTCTCTCTTTTTTCCACACTCTAGGCAGGATGTAGCCAATCAAATGTGCACCAAGACCAAGGAGGAGTGTGAGAAGCACTACATGAAGCATTTCATCAATAACCCTCTATTTGCATCTACCCTGCTGAACCTGAAGCAAGCAGAGGAGGCAAAAACTGCTGACACAGCCATTCCATTTCACTGTAAGTACCTCCCTGTATCAGTAAGAGAGTCCAGTATTTAGCTTATTATAATTAATCATCTCAGTGTTAAGTCCAAGAAGCAATTTGTTATTTTTGTCCACTTGGTTGTGGTAATAATAGCAAACTTTTCTTTTCTTTTCTTTTCTTTTTAATTTTTTTTTTTTTTTTTTTTGCGGTATGCTGGCCTCTTCCGTTGCGGAGCACAGGCTCCGGACGCGCAGGCTCAGCGGCCATGGCTCACGGGCCCAGCCGCTCCGCGGCATGTGGGATCCTCCCGGACCGGGGCATGAACCCATATCCCCTGTGTCGGCAGGCGGACTCTCAACCACTGCGCCACCAGGGAAGCCCATCGTTTTCTTTTTTTTAAATCTCATGTGACTTAGGGACTCATGGGTCTTCTAACAAAACATAACCAAACCCATGATGAATTATAAATGGACATCTTTGCTGAATGACTCCCAGAGCACGAGTAATGAAATATGAATGTTTTTCTTTCCTCATACTCTCTGGAAACAGTTTCATAGGTGACTAACTCAAAACCTGATGATACCTCCTATTTGGATAGCCCTTTGGATGTTAGCACTTTGTTCTCAAATGCCTTAGACCATTTCTTCCTCATGGCAACCCAGTGAGACAGGCAGAGCAAGTGCTTTTGTTCTGCACACAAGGAAACTGAGATTCAGAAAGGTTAAATAATTTGTACAAGGTCATGGGACTAGTGGATGTTACAGTAGAGCCTGGACTCAATTCTGGCTTACTCCAAATCCAGTGGGGTTTTTTGCCTGTCAGTTGGATGGGATTTGTAAATTGAGATTGGTCCTAAGGGGTAAGGGAGCTGAAGCAGACAGGGTAAATACTTAAGTTCTGTAATACTGAAGAAAAGATCCTTGATTTTCTTTCATATTAGGAAAGCAAAAGTAAGAGGGAACTTCTGTATTTACTTAGAGGATTCCCTAAGTCTTAGTTTCCTTTTCAAGAAATCAATTTGTTTCCATTAATACTTTATCTTTCTTTACTTTTTCTTTATAAAAATCTCTTGCATTTTATTTATCCTCTCAGACGCTGTCTTTCTCCAAACAAAAATATTTCAGAGTCTAAATTAGGACTTACTTTGTGTCACTTTTTTATGCTAGTATCTTATTAAGTAACTAAGAAAAACTAAATTCTTTCAGCTACAGATGACCCTCCCCGACCTACCTTTGACTCCTTGCTTTCTCGGGACATGGCGGGATACATGCCAGCTCGAGCAGATTTCATTGAGGTAAGAGAAACTTGTTTTTGTTTAGGATGAGGCTATATCTCTTACCTATAGGTTCCATACCACTAAAAAGAGATTTTCATAGCACTGTAACTTGTGGAGCCACATTTTCTCCATTTGAGTGCCTTTTTCTCATTTGTAAATATTTCTTTTAGAAAGGTAAAAGTTCTTCAGAGCAAAAACTTATTTCTTTTTTTTAAAATTATATTTATTTTTATTTTTGGCTGCATTGGGTCTTTGTTGCTGCGCGCGGGCTTTCTCTAGTTGGGGGGAGCGGGGGCTACTCTTCGTTGCGGTGCACGGGCTTCTCATTGCAGTGGCTTCTCCTGTTGCAGAGCATGGGCTCTAGGTGCCTGGGCTTCAGTAGTTGTGGCACGCGGGCTCAGTAGTTGTGGTGCATGGGCTTAGTTGCTCCGCAGCATGTGGGATCTTCCCAGACCAGGGTTCGAACCCGTGTCCCTTGCATTGGCAGACAGATTCTTAATCACTGCGCCACCAGGGTAGCCCCAAAAACCTATTTCTTAAGTTTCATTCCACATCTAGGGGGTTTCGAGTTTGTACTATATCGGGGGTTGGCAAACTTTCTATTAAGGTCCAGATAGTAAATATTTTAGATTTTGTAGACCATAAATTCTCCGTTGGAACTAAACTTTGCCATTATTATGCAAAAGCAGCATAGATAATAGTAAACAAATGAGCAAGCCTGTGCTCCAGTAAAACTATTTACAGAAATAGGCAGTGGGCTGAATTTGGTCGATAGGCTGTAGTTTGCTGACCTCTATACTATATTCACAAGTTTATAAAGAATGATGAATGTGTATAAAAACTACATGTTCTTCATTCAGCCCTGGAGTTAAAAGCCATGTGAATGTAGTCACAAGTCTCTTGATTTATCACCTAATCTGCAATTATAGTACTCTTGGAGGTAATTAAAGTTTAGCAAACTACAGACAATTTTGCTAGCCACACCCAGGTCAGCATTTTGTTCATGGCAGCTGCAATTGTAGAGCTACCTCAGAGACACTACCCCTACAGATTGTAGTCATTGAATAGAACATGAACAAATCTACCCATTGAGCTAGGTAAGCAATATTATGGGATAAATAGAGCCCTAGATGGTGGTAAAAAGGTAGATGAATTAATGCAGGCAATTTTCTTACCTAAATATTGGTTAGGCCAAAAAGTTCGTTTGGGTTTTTCCATAACATCTTACAGAAAAACCCAAACGAACTTTTTGGCCAACCCAATACTCGAAGGGCTAGTAAGAGTTAGGTTTTCTTGAGTTAGATTTCATGAACAGACTACTTTTAGTTTTCAGAACAATATGTTTGGCTTTATTCCTGGACTCATAACTTTCTCATTTTTTGCTGTCACTGCTGCCTGAAAGCCTCTCAGTTTTCTCCCATGACTTATTTACTTATGGCAGTTGTCCTGGCCTTGTACTCCATTCAGTACTTTTTAGCAAGTGTTTGTTTATGTATTTGCTTCTAAAGCATGACTCCTGTAAAGGCATTACTCAAAGCTGATGGATTTTAGATGGGAATTTTCTTTTCCCCAAACAGGAGTTTGACAATTATGCAGAGTGGGACTTGAGAGACATTGATTTTGTTGAAGATGACTCGGACATTTTACACGGTAACATTTTATTACAGCCAATGTTTTTATTGATTGCAAACTGTGATGACACTGTATTGGGTGCTAGAAATATAAGAATGAATAAAACATGTCTCCTGCCCCTTATGGGACCCAAATTACAGTGGTTAAGTTGCTGAACTTACCCTGTTGCTGGGATTTGACCATAATGAGAAAGATCATTTGTGATGGTGGTGAGAATGTTGATGACATAAGGGTAGTTGGGAATATCCCATCCCTTGGACTGTGTAAGCTTTCTTTTGGCTGAGATAAGCCTACACTGAGGTAATTGGTTAAATGGCCCTCACAGCCTCCTTAAAAGAAAGGGAATCAGGGTGAAGACCTTGGGACTTCAATAACAACTGCTGATACTAGATATTCACTATAATTTGTTACGCAAAATTTCCCATAGCAGGGGAAAAGAATGGAAGTTCAAGAGTTTTTAGACCAAGATTGGAAATCTCTTGTTTCTCAGAACTGTTGAATTTTTAGCACTTCTGAATTCTCATCTAAGATTAACCCTCTAAGGATTTATGTCAACTCTTTTGTTATAACGTAAATGGCTAATGCCAACAAGGCTTTCAAAAGTGGATGGTTAGACTTTCAGTGAATGTCTTTTTTTCCTTCTTTCCATTTTCAGTGAACTACATATTTAAAATAATCCCCAATCTTCTGTTTCATTTCAGCCCAGAATTGAGGGTGATGCAGTAGGTGAATAATGCTCCTTTGGATTCTGTATTTCCTAAACAACATCTTCATTGCTTTTCTTAAATGTATATCCCAGGTAGGAAAGGCAAGTTAGAATCCTTGTTGAATTTTAAATCAAGTTTTCATGTTGCATTAACTGGTCCTCTGTCACTTGAATTTATTCTTCTCTCTGCAGAAGAGCTGACTAGATATTTGTTACATCAGATCTGGGGCCAAGAAAGAGTCCTCATAAAAATTTTACCTTTAGAGTTTTTTCTCTACTTGAGAAGTTTTTTTCTTGAGCAGTTTTTTTCTTTGCAAAATTTCATTTCTCTTCTCCCACACAACTTTAAGGAAAGTCAAAGTGACGTAGATTGAACTAAAAGAGGAAAGCTTTAAAGCAAACTGCTTTAGCATTCACTAGAGCCATTGTGTTTGTTCAGTCTTCCATGTCAATCTCTGCTTTTCAACCCTGATAATTCACGTTGTCTATTCTCACTTCATGTGTCATTCTCTTGAAGGCAGTGTGCAGGTTGCCATTCAGTATTCCTCATCATACACACCAGCTTTAATTAAAATGGTATTGTTTCCTGGCTTGTATCTTTCTTATCCAGAATGCAAAAAAGCAGTTTCATAAATATCATTCTTTTAGATAGTATTCAAAAGTACTGAACTTTTGAAAGTCAAAATCTCTTATGTCAGTCATGGTTCAACTATGTAAGGGACTTGCTGAATCACTTCTCCAGGCCCTAATCCAAGGTCTTCATTCTTGAGCCTCAACATTATTAAGAAAACTGTAGTAATGTTTGGTATTTAATTTCACTCTTCATCCTTTGTGGAAGCATGATTTGCAGTTTCTGCTGGTGCACTTATGGTCCCTTCTGTAAGTGAGGGCAAAAGGAAAAAAAATCAAAAAGAAGCAATTGATGAGCAAGTTTTATTTCAGTTAGCATTTCAAACCTATAACATACTTTAGTTATTTGTGTTCTTTCTACAGTTTCTACAGCCTTTTAAGTTATTTGATTATAATTCATTTGAACTAAGAATCAGTTATTGATTGTTATACATAAGTAGTTTTTGTTTTTTTGTTTTTTTTAATTAATTAATTAATTTATTTATTTCTTATTTTTGGCTATGTTGGGTCTTCGTTTCTGTGCGAGGGCTTTCTCTAGCTGTGGCGAGCGGGGGCCACTCTTCATCGTGGTGTGCGGGCCTCTCACTATCGCGGCCTCTCTTATTGCGGAGCACAGGCTCCAGACGTGCAGGCTCAGTAGTTGTGGCTCACAGGCCTAGTTGCTCCGCGGCATGTGGGATCCTACAAGACCAGGGCTCAAGCCCGTGTCCCCTGCACTGGCAGGCAGATTCTCAACCACTGCGCCACCAGGCAAGCCCCATAAGTAGTTTTAACAGTGCTTATATAATAATAATCCCTGCCTCTCCTTTCCCTCCCTGTCTAGTAGTGAACTGTAAGATGTTTAGATGGGTGCTTTTTAAAAGGTGATAGCGTCATAAAGAGGTTTGGCAGGACTGGAGATCAAAGGGATGACTTGCTGGTGCCACAAAGGGATGCTTTGTTTATGGTTCTAAGTTCTCATATTAGCTCCTTTGGCAGTATGACCCACTGTCCAGTTGGGCACATATTGTTCCAGCAGTTTCTCCTGGAACTCTCAGTGAAGGGGACTAGGAGCCCAAGGAAACTAGGAGGGAATGAGAAGGAGCTTTCTATGCACACCTAGAACAGAAAGAGGGGCACATATTTTGTGCACATCAGGACAGTGATTCAACCTCAGGCTTGCTTCTGAGTCACTGTGATCTTGGGCAAGTCCTTGGAAATTTGCTGCTGTTTCTCTGTGTCCCTGGCCAGCAAAGAACAGATGATGCTGATTAGTCAGGGTGAATGTCTCCAATGAAACGTGGTACATAATTCAGATTGGTGTTATTGCCATTCCATTGTACCATTATACTCTTAATATTACTGAGCATCAATAACATTCCTTTTACGTTTCCTCACTTACAACTAGAAGGAAGTAAACTGTTTGGCTGGGCTTTGTATCCCATCCCCTAGAAAGACTGCATCTAGAAAATTGGGTGATGCCAGAAAGCTCTTTTCCTCACCCAAGACTTTTGCTGTGATTCATGGAATTTGTCTAATACAGGGGGTTTACATGGTCCATTATAGAGGCCTGGGACACAATGGAGGGACATGTAATTACATTCCACCATACCAGAAGTCTTTCAGAATGGGCCCCCAAAAGATACTGCATGTGAAGTAGTGTCTAAGGAAGAAAATAAGGAGGTTCTGAGATCCCTAAATGACACCTCCTCGTATTTTATTGAAATAAGCAGAAATTATTGGTCCAGAGAGAGAGATGCAAAAGACATAACTCGGCACTCCCTGTGGCATGTTGTGGGATGTCAGTGCAGACACACAGCATAGTTTCCTTTTCCTTAGGGGACATCGCTCTCCATCTGCTTTCATTTGGGGAAATCTCTCCTAAACTTGTGGACTCTTCGTTCTCAGAGTTTCACAGGTGCTAAGCCCTGCGTGCAGCATCTTCTAATCATTGCTGGCCCATAACCCAGGCAAGCAAGAGGCATCATGAGCTCCTTCCACTGCACTGGGCCTGTGCTTCCAGCACTTCTCAGGGTTGCACATTAGAGCAGTTTACTCTCCTTCTATTTGGAAAGCCAATTTCAGCAAAATTTCTTGGCCAGATGTGGATACTCCCCCACTTTCCCCCCCCACATTTTCTTTCTTTGGTCCGTATTGTCAGCCTTTAGAGCCTTTAACAATTAGTCGATCAGAGGTCCAGCCTGGTCACTGTGCCTATTACCTACCTATTGGCAGTGCCCTTCCCTTGATGGTGATTTGGCTGCTTTATGTTTAGGACTTTTTAGACATAAATGCTATTAATAATAATAGCTAATACGTATAGCACTTACTGTTTGCCAGGTACCATTTAAGTCCTTGACACACATGAACTCATTTAACCCTCACAAAACTCTTTGGGTTAGGTGTTATTACTATTACCCCCATTTTATAGATGGGGGAATTGAGGAGTAGCAATCTCAAGTAACTTGCCTGAGGTCAAGAGGTAACCTGCAAGTGGCAGGGCCATCTTGAGTCTATGCTCTTAATACTGTGCTATACTTAATGTCTCTACAACCTTGAACCTTTTTTTTTTCTTTTTAGATTTCACATTTTTTACCTTCTATAGCTTAACCACATTCCTGAGAAGTGGAAATAGATATTTTCCCATTCTACTTTCAGAGAAATGCACAAAGGAGTGAAGTGGCTTGGCTAAGGCTTCCTAGTTGCTGACTTTAACCATTCGGTCACTTGGTTGGCTTTCCTTCATAGCACTACTTGCGTACATCTCGGCCAAAATCTTTGGGGGGAAATGACTTTTAAAAAGCTTTGCTTCTGGGGAATACCTGAGTCACAGGTTTGTGCTTGTGCGCTTGCAGTAGGGATTTTGATTGGCTTCCCTGTAGTTAAGGCCTCTGAGTAGGTTTTCTTGCCAAGCAAGCAGTAGGTGCCTTCTGTCAGGAAAACAGAAACATGTTGCCAGCTATTTTGAACAATGTTAGAAATACACTGCAGTGGGAAGGAGCTGCCTCTGACTTCTGCCCACTTCTTGAAATATTTTAAGGCCAGCCGTTTGGAAACTTTGTTATCAGTCCCCAGTGTGGTCACAGGGAGACTAGTCATCCCCCAAAACTGAGATTTCAGAGGCCTGGCGTCAGTGGAGAGGTTATGGGTGCTTTGGGTTTCTTTGTTTTTAAGGAGCTCTGGGTCTTTGCCTGCTTTACTAGACCCTCCACTCACTTTAAGTAGAATATGAACCTGTGATTCTCATTCTTTCAGTGTCTGCCTCTCATTTCTGTTCTGCCTGCTGTGCTGTGGTCCTCCCTGGGTTATTCGTGCAGTTAAGATCTTATAATCAGTTGCGCTATCGGAGTGCGCTTCATAAAGACAAGGGAGAGCTTCCACTGTGGATTCTTCTCTGGGAGAATTCCAGTTCTCCCATTTGTTTCTCTGTGTTCCCTTCCTTCCCTTTGTTCTCCAGGGCCAGTTGTACAAGTTTAAACTACTGAAATGATCAAGCACCAGAACCATTTATCAGCAGGATTTATTTATAGAGTTTTTCTGTGACACAGTCTCTTCAGTTTTTTTTCTGTTTAATTAAGTCATTCCCACACAAATCTCAAGAAACAACATGATAAGTTAGTGTCTTAGAAAAATTACCGAAATATTTTGTCAAAATTAGCACTAACTTCCACTGGATCTTCAGGTAGTTTCTTTCATGTTGAACTCATCTTATTATTGAGTAGATAAACGAGATAAGGCACCTAAAGGGCCTGGAACATGATAAATACTCAGTGGATGTTAACTATTTACTTAGCTATTTTATTTGCTTCTCTTTCTGCCTTGAACTGTTGACGTCCTAATTTCTCTTTCTCATAAGAAGTAAAGGTAGAGTCCACTATAAAACTTGTACTTGGTTGTACTGCATGTCAGAGACAGTTCCTCTTCTCCCCATGCCTCCTTCCTCTCCCACCACACAGTTATGTAAAGCGCATCTCTACCAGCACAGCGTTCTAGAGCCTATCATTCCCCAGCAGTTGTACTAGGAAACACTGGCAGGGTATGGGGCATTCTGTGGTACCTATGCTTCTATATGGAACACATGTAAATCAAGAAAGAGTTCATTTATAGAAAGAGTTCTGCAACCTGAAAAAATGTTTGAAAACCATTGCCTTAAATCTTGGACCTGATATTATTGAATTATTTTTAGTTTGTGGGCAGTTATGAGGAAAAATGAAGCAATGTTGTTTAAATTTTTGAACTTGTTAGAAATGAACGAAAGATCCATGATAGTTAATACTTTTTTTTTAATACTTAAAGTTTAAAAAGTATTGCGGTCATTCATCTCTTCAGGTCATCCAGCTAGAATTTATGTTATTTTTATCTCAGACCCAAGGGAGAATGGCCTGGATAAAGTATTCCTGGTCATTTCCCAGTGATTGAAGTTATATACAGATGTAGTGCATCTGCTCATAGCTCAGCATGTTAGATTTTGGTATTTCTTTCTTCTAATCTGAAACTCTAACAGATGTAATTTCTAGTCCATGTGTTACTAAAGTTCAGACTCCTTGTTGAACTGTTTTATGAAAGCTAATAATATACATAGCAAAGCATGGTCAAAAGAGATGTTCAGGAAAAAGCAGAAATTGTTATCTATAGCGTAATCCCATATAAACATATACTTAGGAAAAAAGAACTTTACTGTAATTGACTGATACAGAAATTCACTATCCTAGGGTATTTTTGTTCCCAAGAGACAGATTTCCTAGACCAGTGAGTGTGGAATAGTTAGCAGTATGAGGTTGAAAGTTTAGGACAGCTTGGGCAAAAGATTTCTTCTTGTCTTGGCTTTATTTATATGTAAGGGTTTGTTTGTTTGTTTGTTTATAGCTCTGAAGATGGCTGTAGTAGATATCTATCATTCCAGGTTAAAGGAGAGACAAAGGCGAAAAAAGTAAGTCTAGAAAACCATCCTGCCTTCTTTTGGCTTTGGACTATTGACCACATATAGCCCATAAGAGCAAGTTCCACTTGTGGCTCATCTTAGGACCTTGAGGAATACACTTAACCTCCTTGGATCTCAATTTTTCCATCTGTTAAAAGGAGATAATAATACCTCTCCTTTTCTTGCTTTTTAACCTCCTCCTTCCTTACCCTTTCTTGATGTTTTGGTGACCAATGAATAATATGGATACACTGTTTTAAGGAAAAAAGGAACAAGAAAAATTCAAAATATTATTAAGTTGTTACACTTAATAATGCTCTATTCTAACTGCTCAGTTTTTATGAGAAGTCTTTTATATACAAGGATTTCAAAGAAATTATGAACAAGTTTCAGTCACTCTTGGTTATTCCTTCTCTTTGCAACAGAACAAAAAACATACATTGAGGCTGAGAAATTATGGATCCCAAACCCCTATTGGATTACAGAGACTTTAACAGTTCAGAGAAGGGTATGCAGAGGATGTGTATGTATGTGTAGGCATGTTACCATGTTACCATGGTGTTAATAACTAGAGATACAGTGGCATCACAACAAGAAAAAGGAATGGGGAGGCACTCTGGAGGGACCAAGACATGAGCTAAAGTAAAGCTTACTCTCTGCGTGTCTGGAGTTAGCTTCCAAGAAGCGCTGAAGATTACCCAGCTGTTCTTGTGAGAAGCTTCATTGCTAGTCATGAATACCTCCGGTATAAATCAGAGGTTCCAGACACGTAACTCTGCATGGTTTACCTAAATTCTGTTTTTCTTAAAACATGGAATTAGAGCTAGACAGTGTTGTAGAGCTCAGTAGTTGAGGTCGCTATTAGATCTTACGTTTTATGATGACCTTCCATTAAACATGCACAAGATTTATTTCAAATAGCTTCAAGGCATTCTGTGAATGTACAGTTGTAAATGTTGAGTGTGTGATCACAGATTTCCCTTAAACGGCTGTTCTCAATAATCATTTCCCTAAGCTGCATAGATGATTTTTATGATATGGACACAGGTTCCCTTCTGTTGCATCTTAAGTTACAGACGTGCTTTTCACTATTTGTGAGTGCTTATTGATCTGTTCATTCATCCAGCAGGTAGTTATTGAGAATCTACAGTGCCCAAGGAGAGGAAAAATATATGATGCTTGAGAGCCCAAAATTGTGCTAGAGACTTACTGACCTGCAGAACTTTGTGGGGAATGACTTCTCTGGACCTCAGTATTCCCCCTTGCAGTGTTTAGGATGTCTAATGAAAGCTGTGTGTGGAAAACATTGTTAAATGTGAAACTGATTATCATATATATGTTTTTCATTCTAGAATTATAAGAGACCATGGATTAATCAACCTTAGAAAGTTTCAGTGTAAGTATTAGTTTTCCTTATTTTAAAATTTCTCCCAACATTATTGAATAGTTTTAAACAAATCATTTATGACAGTAGTTCTTAATCAAAGTTGCATATTAGCATCACCTAGGAAGCTTTAAAAAATTCTGATGGCTGGGGCTTCCCTGGTGGCGCAGTGGTTGAGAGTCCGCCTGCCGATGCAGGGGACACGGGTTCGTGCCCCGGTCCGGGAAGATCCCACATGCCACGGAGCGGCTGGGCCCGTGAGCCATGGCCACTGAGCCTGCGCGTCCAGAGCCTGTGCTCCGCAGCGGGAGAGGCCACAACAGTGAGAGGCCCTAGTACCGCAAAAAAAAAAAAAAAAAAAAAAAAAAAATTCTGACGCCTGACAGTCACCTTAGACTAATTAAGTCAGAATCTCTGGAGGTAGAGCTACAGCATCTGTATTTTTTTAAAGTCTTCAGGGCAATTCTGTTGCATCGTAAGAGTTACAAACCATTAATATGTGGTCAATAACACTAGCATGAGAATTCTTTTTTTTTAATTAGTATAGTAATTAAAGCATGAATATTAATGGATCATTTTCTGGAACTGGATAGGGTTGTGTTTTGGAATTATATGTTAAACATAAAATAACTTTGACCATCAGGTTGTGAAAATATTTTTATGGAAAAAAATTAACAGAAAATGATAGCTTTATTTTGCATGGTCGGGGCAAACAAACCAGAAAAGACATTAGCATTGTATGATGATGAAATAAGCCTATGATTTTTAAATGATTGCTAACTTTGACCTTACTTTTAAATATTTGGCGATAACCTATGCTGGGCGGAAAGAGTCTCTGTACTTTTTCTTCTTCTACACTGTAGAGTTTGTTCAGAACATAAGAATGATGATATCATAATAATTGCAATATTTATATATGTTTATAATAGTTATATGTCACAAGACTTTTTTTTGTAAAAATACCTAATGATTGTGCTTCATATGCTAATTGATAGAATCTTATAGGGTTTGACAGTCTGTGCCAGGAGGGTTCAGGTCAGCCAGTCTTGGGTTAAGTATCATTTAATAGAGTCATGGTCATAAGTATGTTACATTTTATGTCCTTTACTTTTTCACTTTCCATTACACACATTATGGTGTTTTGATGATGTCACTTCTAATAGTTACATAATATGTTGTATAGATACATAAATATATAATGAAGTGCTTAACCTGTCTTTTATTATTAGATCTTTAGCTTATTTTCAGTGTTTTTCTAATCATTATAAATAAAGCTAAGTAAACTTGTTTGTGAATAGAGCTTTGTCTGTATTTAGAATTGTTTTTTTAAAATAGATTCCCAGAAGTGGAATTAAATAGGTCAAAGAATATGGTTATTAAAAATGCTTAACACATGCTGCCAGATTGTTTCCTAAAAGATGGTTTTATCAATTTATATTCCTTCTAGCAGTATACAGTATTGCCTATTTAACCTCGTCCTCATCGAGAGCTGTGGGTTTGCAAAAATAACCCAAGGTCAGATCTCCCTTGCCCTTTCTGTAGACAATAATTGGTCACGTTCTGATAGCCACAGTAGTGGGTTCCTTTGTCTGAATTCCTGGGCCTTCCATGATAGGTCAGTTGATTTTAACCATTACATAGTAGACCTTGACTCTTGTATAAATTCTGTTCTCAGCTGGTGGACAGAGGTCAGTTCAGCCTCTTTATTCTTTTAACTGTATTTCTTACATACAGAGCTGAGAGGAAGCTCTGTTGCTTCCGAGAAAGAAGTGGTATGTGCGTTGTGGTTTGAGAGGTCTTCAGTTGCCATTATACTGAATGTACATGTGACCTTAATATGTAGGCATAGGAGTTTTTTTCATCAAATTAAAAAGTTTTACTCCAAATGTTTCTGTATTATCCCTATAGAGGGGGACGGGGGGTTTGGTGGTGAAAATAATCAATTTGTGGCTGCCCATCAAATCAGCTCCTAGAATTTGTGGGCAAGAATTTCTCCTGCAAAGAAAGAGATTCATCTGAAAAGAGGACTTGATTTAAGTAACTGTCGTAAGTGATAGCCTGTATCTTTAGCCTGAGAGTGGACAAAACTAGCCTAGTTACTCTTATTGAAATGACTGAGTAGCAGTTCGAGAGTTCCTGGCCGCTCCAACCTACCAGTTACTACTGGTGGGTTTTACTACCCATCTTTTTTGCTGATAGCTCTTTTTATTAGAAATTTGGTCAGTAGTGATCCTCAAAGTTGCTGACCCATATGGGTATCCCAAATGGCATATTTGACCCTTCACTTCCATCATAGTTATCAAAATATAACTTCATTAGTAGTACATTAAGTTGTGGTACCTAATTAAGTTTAGAGAAAGGCAAAATGACCCATGTAGAAAGTGAAGAAATAAATGCCTCATTTGAGGATATGTAGTTACAGAGATTTTTATTTTTGGTGGAGCGTGCAAGAGATCACACTTTTTCCAGGCTAATCTACCTCTTCTAGATGAATTAATATGTCTGCACTTCCCTTGTTCTGCAGAAGTTATTTTTTATTTTTTTAATTTATTTGTTTATTATTTTTTGGCCGCGTTGGGTCATCGTTGCCACGTGCGGGCTTTCTCTAGTTGTGGTGAGCGGGGGCTACTGTTAGTTGCGGTGCGCAGGCTTCTCATTGCGGTGGCTTCTCTTGTTGCGGAGCACGGGCTCTAGGCGCGTGGGCTTCGGTAGTTGTGGCGTGTGAGCTCAGTAGTTGTGGCTCGCAGGCTCTAGAGTACGGGCTCAGTAGTTGTGGCGCACGGGCTTAGTTGCTCCGCAGCATGTGGGATCTTCCCAGACCAGGGCTTGAACCCGTGTCCCCTGTGTTGGCAGGTGGATCTTAACCACTGTACCACCAGGGAAGCCCTCTGCAGAAGTTAATACCAGAGATTTTGCCCCACATTGTTTCTGAGAACACACGATCTAATCATCTTTCCTGTTACTGCCAGTACTTCCTGCCCTTGTATAGATTAAGAGGCAGCAAGGTGTGGAGGTCTCCAGGGTGCTCAGCAGTGCAGATGCTCTCCAGTGATAACAACCTCTCTGCGTCATAGTCACTCTGATTCTCTTATCATTATGATTAGTGTGCTGCATTCTTAGCTTTCCAGTTTGCTTCCTGTCATTGGTAAGTTAGTCATATGAGGTTAGGAATAATGTTCTTCCATTTTACTTCTTGTAAAAAAAAAAATGCAGAAAACTTAGAGATCTTTATATTCTTTACTTTCTCTGTAGTAATGGAACGGCGGTATCCCAAGGAAGTCCAAGACCTTTATGAAACAATGAGGCGATTTGCAAGGATAGTGGGGCCAGTGGAACATGACAAGTTCATTGAAAGCCATGCATGTAGGTGGTTTTTTAACCTTGAGCAAATATTTGTGTGTGTGTTTTTATTTAAATAGGAGAGATAGTGGTGTGTTTTATGTGAAGTCCTGTAAATAAATAAGTGGATTTTTTGGTATTTCTTCCACTTTATTACTATGAGATTAATTTGGGACTTTGGGGGTGGGAGAAAAGAGCTTAAAAAGCCTAGTGGCTTGTTTTCCCCTCAGATAAACAATAGGTTAGTAGTTTTTCCCCCTTTTTATTATGGGAGTTTTCAAATACATGCAAAAATAGAGATCATAGTATAATGAACCCCATGTGTCCATCACCCAACTTCAGCAATTATCAACACATGGCCAATCCAGTTTCATCTTTACCACCCACTCCCCTCCCATCCTCAACTGGATTATTTTGAAGCAAATCATATTATTATTATTTTTTTTTTTTTGCGGTACGTGGGCCTCTCACTGTTGCGGCCTCTCCTGTTGCGGAGCACAGGCTCCGGACGCGCAGGCTCAGCGGCCATGGCTCACGGGCCCAGCCGCTCCACGGCATGTGGGATCTTCCTGGACCGGGGCACGAACCCGTGTCCCCTGCATCAGCAGGCAGAGTCTCAACCACTGCGCCACCAGGGAAGCCCTTGAAGCAAATCGTATTATTTTGTTCATAATTATTTTAGTATTAAAACTAGTTTTTTAAGTGGGGACAGAGTTGGACGACTCATCAAGATAGTATATGGTACTTCCATCATTTTCTTGCCTTTTTCCCTGAGAGAGCTCTATCTAGTTACCATTTGATTTCTCACCGTAAAAAATTGAAGTTGTTAAGGCAGTAAGGCCTAGACTATAAAACAATCTGGACTGGGGGGCTAAGTCTATACCTTTACTCATGAGAGTCAGGTGTTTGACCCCCAAGTTTAGTTCTGGAAAGGTACTTCATGAAGGCTCTTATCATGTACTCATCATGCAGACATTTCTTGCATGACATTGTAGGCATGTATCTGAGCCAGGTTGGTTGTCCTCACCAGACACCCTCTTTGTTGGCATTCTTTGTGTGATTTATCCTGGGTGATTTATCCTTCACTTCCTGTCCCAGTTTGTGCCATCCCTGGTTTATGTGTCACTCCAAAGAACAACACCCCATGGATTGTCCAGGTTCTTCCTTCATCCTCTGTTTCAAAGCACCCAAATTTGAATGTTCCATCACATAATAACCCAAGCGGTGCAACCTGATCTATGTGCTCAGAGGAGGCAGAAATCTTTGATTTATGGAAAACACAATGCTCTTTTGTTCCTATAGGAGAAAAGCTGTAAAGAAGCTATCCAGGACTTGAAGCCCAGAGCTTTTGTCCTTCCCTGGCAAAAGGGCCACATCAAGTAATACCAGAGACAGGTTTCATAAAAGAATTTGGTTTTGTGACTAGAACTCTTAACAGAGAATAAATAGAGCAGGGAAACTTGGTGGTTTAAAAAGTTATATTCATTACTTCTGTAGCTAAATGAATTCAACCAGTTCACTATAAGTTTTCTAGGAAGCAGCTGGAGACAGAAGCCAAAAGACAGCTGGAGTACATTTTTGTCAGCTTTTGGGTAAAATTTCTAATGAGATATTAGCAACAATTAGGATTCCCCAAATGGAATTGCCCAGTCTTTTATAGAAGGCAGAATTACTGAAAATATTCAACAGTAAAAGTGCTCATTAATGTTGATTTTGTTTTTCCAATTTTTCTCCTTTGTTGTTTTCGGGGGGATAAACAGTGGAATTCGAACTCCGAAGGGAAATCAAGAGGCTCCAGGAATACAGGACAGCAGGCATTACCAATTTTTGTAGTAAGTATGCTTAAGGTACACACTAAATCAGAGGGCAAGTCTTCCAAACACATAGAGGGTGTCTCTGTTTGAGGTGCCATGGAGTTTTTTTTTTTAAACAAGCTTTCACATTTCAGAATGAGTTTTCAATCTTTCCCATAAAGTTTCACCTATTTAATCCTTATAAAATACCATTATATGGATTATCTGAGGTGAAATAAAAGTTACGACACAGAGAAAAGAGAGATGCTGTTTTAGATTTAGGATTCCGTAGTGGCCTCTGAAGAAAAGGATTTTGTATTCCAGTTTTTAGCCTCAGCCTTTTTAAATTTAGTGATGCATAGTCTGATCGTTCTTATTAAGGGAGCTTCAGCTGGTTCTAGGCGCTTGCATCCCAGTTACTTGAGGTAGTGATAATTATATTCATAGCAGCTAACAGTTTACCATGCACCAGGCCCTACCCTGTGCACTTCACCTGGATCGTGTCATTTAATTCTTGTAACAAACTTATTGTTATTTTCATTTAATGGAGAGACTAAAGTTTAAAGTGATTAAGGAGCTAGTTGTAGTAGAGCCAGGTCATAAGGGAAGGTAGTGTGTGTTAGTAGTTAAGAGCTGAGGTCTAGACTTGGACAGCTTGGGTTTGAATTCTGGCTGTTCTTTCACCAGATCTATAATTCTGTTCATTTCAATTTTCCAAGTCTCTTAGAGTTAGTATGAAGATTAAATTAGAGGGACTTCCCTGGTGGTCCAGCGGTTAAGACTCCACGCTCCCAATGCAGGGCACCCGGGTTCGATCCCAGGTCAGGGAACTAGATCCCACATGCCACAACTAAAGATCCCGCGTGCCGCAACTAAGACCCGGTGCAACCAAATAAATAAATAAATTTTTTTTTTTAAAAAAAGATTAAGTTAGAGATGATGCATGAAAACATAGCACAATACCTGGCACACAGTAAATCCTCAGTAAATGGCAGTTTCTGTCATTTTGTTGTTATTGTTGGAATGATCTTCGGCATTTCCTCCTTCTTGCTGTTGGTTGAAAGCTATCACCCACTGCTCACAAGAAGTAGCCCTGTGGGTATAAGTTCAGCCTGCTGTAATGGCTCTTTATTTCTAACAATGGAAACAGTTTACAAAATGAAATTTTATGTGGGACACTAATCCATAAATAAGATAAAAGTAGAACTACTTTGGTTGAAGTCTGATGGTTCAGGTCATGTGTGGAGCACAGGACCACTGGTATGTGCTGGTGCCCTTGCTCTTCCCCGTAATCCCTGAGATATTTTCATGGTATCCTGGGCCTCTGTGAAACACTGTTTGAAACCCACTGGTGTGATATTTTGGATCCTGTATACATTTGTAACATGTAGAAAACACTATGCAACTGTTTATCAAGATGCGTATAAAGACTCTGATACCAGGTTTGGGTTACCTGATATTGGTTGCCTCTGGGAAAGAGGGGAAAGGAATGGTACTGGTCAATGAGGATTTATTTTTATTTGTAATTCTAACTGCTTTTTAAGGAAGAGTGTATGTGTATAGCACTTGTGTGACTTGGAAAAATATATGGATAGAAAAATATAGAACAGAAAGTAAATATGACAATATTAAAAGTTACTTTTAGGGGATGGAAATATGAGGGACTCCTTGTAATTTTCTGTTTTGGGGATTTTTCCCCAAAATGTCTTAAAGGTAGAAAAGGAATAAAAATATTTTTATTTCTTGTCAAAAAAGGGATTTCAAACTAGGGGAAATGACTTTGCTCTTAGAAAAATAATTGTGGAAGCAGTTTTGCAAAGGAAATTTAAAAATGACTGGGAATTCCCTGGTGGTCCAGTGGTTAGGACTCGGCGCTTTCACTGCGTGGGCCTGGAGTTCAGTCCCTGGTTGGGGAACTAAGATCCCACAAGCCTTGCGGCACGGCCAAAAAAAATTTTAAATTAAAAATTAAAAAAGATGAAGTTTGCTGATGAGTTAGGAAACCCTTCGGTTAGTTCTGCTGCGTTGTCATTGTAGTCGCAGTGTTTTTTAATACCTCCAGGTGCCAGAACCTATGATCACCTCAAGAAGACTCGAGAAGAGGAACGCCTCAAACGCACTATGCTCTCGGAGGTTCTCCAGTACATCCAGGACAGTAGCGCCTGCCAGCAGTGGCTCCGCCGGCAGGCTGACATGTGAGGAATTACTCCAGGGGGAAGGAGCAACCTCTTGGAGGATTTGGCCTTTACCTGTATTTTCAGAGAATTCTGTGGGCACCCTATCCTACATGGCAGGGCAGTAATAATTGGGTGACTAGAAGAATTCAGAAAATTTTAGCAGGCAGTCTCAGAAACAATACCACACTGGGCTTCCCTGGTGGCGCAGTGGTTGAGAGTCCGCCTGCCGATGCAGGGGACGCGGATCCGTGTCCCGGTCCGGGAAGATCCCACATGCCGCAGAGCGGCTGGGCCCGTGAGCCATGGCCGCTGAGCCTGCGCGTTCGGAGCCTGTGCTCCGCAACGGGAGAGGCCACAACAGTGAGAGGCCTGCGTACCGCAAAAAAAAAAAAAAAAAAAGAAACAGTACCATACTGAGAGTTTTGAGAAACATAACTGGCCTCCTAGAATCCTACTTTGCTACTTTGACCTTATTTTTTTTAATTAGTAAATTCCCTCCCCATGCTTTCTTTCTCCCTCTGTTTCTATTGGTATGATTTTCATTGGAGAATCATGTTCCTCTCCTTTCCCCATGAATGGTCTTTGTGATGTGCCAGGCCAAGAACGCTTCTTAACAAATCCAAGCAATTTCCTTCTCTGGAACAGATTTCCTTTCCTAGGTAGTACAGTTGGGATATCCTGTAAAACATAATACAGTCTGTCTCATTACTTCTCTTCAAAGTAACTGACCTGATAAGTGTCACCCAGTCTCACATGGGCTTTTGGAAATGGCTTTCTTTGATGTGATATAAGTTTAAATTCCTCTTCTTCTTTGTAGTGATTCTGGCCTGAGTCCTTCCGTACCAATGGCTTCGAATTCAGGTAATTGTTTTTTAGGCTGGAGCAGGTCTTGATTGTGAAGTTTTCATTCTAGGGGTTATGGTAACCCAGCAATCCCTTCAGCCTGTGTGGGAGCTGGGTGCTTAGGCAGAGGAATGGTAATTAAGTGTTATCCCAATTTATAAACATAAGCAAGCTTTTAGAATATTCATGGCCAAACAGGACTTTCCTCAGGTTTGGAGTACAAAGACAGGGGAAGAAAGAACTCCACACAGGTGTTTTCTCTATTTTACCAATGTTCATGGGCAGTTAGTTTACTATGACGCTGTCTACCACAAACTTTGAGATTTGTCTCATAGGGGATAATTAGAGGCTTTGTATCCCATATGAGCAAAGAAACATATTACTTGCCAGAAAAGCAAGACTTTCTTTATAAGTTGGAGACTTCAGGTATTTCTATTTCTTATCTCTTTGGGTATTTCGTCTTTTGAGGTTAGTTTACAGAGTAAGATTAAGCCATATGCTATCTGGTAATCCTTGGTTCTTGGTAATCAGTGAATGGTAGTTTGGGGTGGTATTAGTTGTAGAACTGTGGTCCAAGATCATGGTGTTTCTTTGCCTGTTTTCTTGGTTATCATTCACCCCTGCTCCATATGGTAGATTAGCCACTTCCCCTGGTCAGAACATACAGGCTGCTCCACCAATTACAGATTGGACTTGGCAAAAAGATGACCCACTTGCAGTTTTACCATTTTTTGGAAGCTTGGAACAACAGACCTTGTGATCCCATTCACAATCTCTCAGATTCAGGATCTAGACAGGGCTCAGAAAAGGCGACTTTATGGATGAAAATTTTTTTTTCATTTATTCCTTTGTTTCAAGTAATAATTGCTTAATATTTAAAGGAGAAAAGAGTGTCTTTTAGGGAATAGCCAAGACAGTTAAATCCAAGTTTTTAAGTTTCTTACATCCAACCCCTCCCCAATCTAAATACAGAAATACAAATAACTTAATATTGGCTAATTAAAATGAATGAATGGACGTGACCAAGCTCCTCTGAACCATTCGCCCTTGCTCTTTGCTGCGTCCTAGGCGGGCATTTGCCTTCCGCACGCCCTGTGTTTAGGTTGAGGCGACCCCTTGCTCCTCTTCATGCTCTGAGTTGCTCCTAAAGTAGTGCAGAGCTGGAAGCCTGGATCCCCGATCGTAACCCAGCCTCTGGGGACTTTGCTGAGGCACCCAATGATTGTAGCCTCCCATTTTGAGCACTTAGGGCATGGCTAGGCCTGTCAGTTATGGAGAAGTCCTCATCCCCTTTGTTGATATTACAGAGAAGTCTGTTTTGTAGTACAGCAGGCTGCAACAGTCCATCCCCTTTCTCTCCACCACCTAAACCGGCAACCCCCCCCATGAAATGTAACGTATTGCTCTGAATTTTCTTTTGTTTAACACAGTCCATTCATTCAAGTATACATTCAAAACAAAACCAAAAGGTTTTGCACATCAGGCTTCCTATCCTGGGCAGTGACCTCATGCTTGGGTTTCTTTCTCAGGTATGTGAGTTCACCTCAGCCTCTACTTTGCCATATAGTGGCTCATTCCTCTGTTCAGATCTTTCAGGTAAACAGGGCTACTTTGGAAGGAACAGATATTCCCTCACGTAATAAATAAGGGCCTTTTGCCGGCCTAACACTCTGCCTTTGATCTCAAGGCGAACGGTACGTGGTTAATTACCATGTTTGCCTTGCACTGCTGGCAGAGTGGCAAGGTTAGGAAATGTCTCTCACGCAGAGTTGTTATTTCCATTCATCAGCTGTCGAGGCAGGCAGTGTGTGACCTTTCTTAACTGGACGACATCTGGGCTGTAGATTTTAGAATCTCCTACTGGTTTGGGAAGAATAGCCGTATTTGACACTGAGGTATGTGTGATTATATGTGTATTTTATCAGAGCAGAGGGCACATGGCTTACTGTTTTTATTTTCAAGTGAACATTGGGATACCTGTGTTGCCAGATAAACTGAGGCCTGAGGAGTATATATGCAGCTATGTATAGTAATCGTGCACCTAACTGGCCTGACTGTGGTGAACTTTGTTATACACTTAACACCCGAGGGACTGTCACTCTTATGAAATATATGCCTTTTTCTGTCTATATCTGTAGGTAGACGAAGTGCACCGCCCTTGAACCTCACTGGCCTCCCTGGCACAGAGAAGTTGAATGAAAAAGAAAAGGAGGTAACAAAAAGAAGGGGAGCTGGTTAGAAGAAAGAGAGTAGGGGCTGGTTATTCATTGAGTTGTCATTAAAAACATGTTACAGGATCAAACCCGTTTTGCTCTGTTCATGTCACACACGTGCATGTACAGCTCTAGTCCATCCCAGAGGTCTAGGTGCTAAAGCGCTGACCTCAGCAGGTCTCAAGGACCCCTTTCCTTATCACCCAGCCGCCATTCATCTCCTGAGAGAAGAACATGTGAGATGTAAATCTAAATAATAGCAGCTATCATTTATTGAGCATTTACCATGTGCTAGATACTGTGCTGTGCTTTATGTCAATGAATTTAATTTGTTTCAAACTTAAAATAACTGGTATATGAAAATGATTATTTCCTATTAGAGTGGGCATTTTCAGAAGTTCCACTGTTATTCCAACAATATGACCATCACTTAAAAGATTTTTGAATTGTCTCCATAGTATGTGTGTAAGCATAAAAGAGGAATTCATCATCGTATATAGTCGCACATTAATTTTGATTAAAAAAGCCATGACCTACTTTTCTTTTACATTATAATCACCGGATGTGATTCTTCATATTACTTTTGGCCGTTTCTAAACTTTAAATCCAGCCTCAAAAGGAGGGTCATCATCAAGCGTTTTCAAAAGAATGTGCCGCAGATCTCAAGTCCATTCCAAGAGAGGATCCTCTTTGTTCCTCGTGTGCTCCTTTTACGGTTCCCAAGATCAGTGTCTTCATCTGCCACTCTGTATCAGTAATTCAGGTCAGACAGTAAGGAAAAGTCATGGAGTAGGCGCTAGTATTAGTCTTTTATTTTACCCGGTAGGAACAGTAAAGATTAGTTTGGGAGTAGAAGGAGGTGTATGTTATATCCAAGTATTGCTGAAGAAGTACTGCCATTCTGAATCAAGGGTGGAATGGCCTGAAGTTTCAAGCAGTTTTTATCCTTACCCACAAAGTGGTAACCTCAGGCTGTTCATTTCTGGATAGTAGCAGGTGAACTGGAATCGAGCCAGGTTTCTAGCTTTTTAGCAGTTAAAGTGACCTCTTAGCAAGGTCTCTATATCTCTTCTCCCTCCAGAGTAGGAAATGTAATCACAAAATCAGGGACTAAAGATTTACGCCGATACTAAAAATAATGCGATTCATACTTGGGAACCCAAGTATCAGCAGCCCCACCCGCACAGTGCCCTGTGGCTCCTCCCTGACTGGCTGAGCTGGAAGGTGCCGGGCCTCTACTCCACACCGCTCCTCAGGACACAGACTTGTATCCCTGACAGACCCAGGTGAGCCAGCCGATAGGTGCTGGAGCTCTCCCGGCATCAGACTCTGCCTTTTTCTGTCTGCCTTTAGAGAGTATTCTCTCCAAAGAAAAGACAAACTGGAATGTAATCTAGCCACCAGCAGCTCCTATAAGTAGTTGGAGGTTGATGTCACTCTTTACATTTTATTTTGGCTATACCTGCTGGATTAAATTATGAGAATGACAGATGTTAACGTTTATTAAATTTGCCATGTCTTGCAGCTCTGTCAGATGGTGAGATTGGTCCCAGGAGCCTATTTAGAATACAAATCTGCTCTACTGAACGAATGTAACAAGCAAGGAGGCTTGAGACTGGCACAGGCAAGAGCACTCATCAAGATAGACGTGAACAAAACCCGGAAAATCTATGATTTCCTCATCCGAGAAGGATACATCACTAAAGCCTGAGGCTCTCCAGGCCTGGTGGGCCAAAGGACAGTACGGGCATTGTGGAGTTTTGTTTTTGAGCTGAATTCTCCTTGTAAAAAGAGGGGAAGAACAAAGGAAACCTTAGGTTGTATTAATGTCTACTTTCTTCTCCACCCGGCTTTAAAATACTCCTGTTGTTGGTACTGTGCTGCAGAGCTATGTGCTAGATAAGCTATTATTAATTGTGTGTGGGCATTCATTCCTAACACCTCTTGTAACGAAAACAAGAACCATGGTACCTCACATCACAGTGTTGGTAGAAATAGAACTAAACCAGTCTTTAGTCCCAGGAGTCCAGCTCAGATCCTTGTACTTACTTGCGAGGTTGGTTTTCTGATTATCTGTTTTGCCTTCAAACATTACAGACAGATTTAAAATAAAGAGGTTATAGAGAGAGAAAGCTTTCTCTTTCTGTCTGAGGATTCTTTTAAGCTGACAACTTATGTTTATGAGCAAAGAGGAGGAAAATCTCTCCATGATGGTCTTGTCCCAAACTGCATCTTCAACTTTAATGTCTGGCTTTGTAAGTTGCAGTCTGGCTGTCTAATCTGCAGTAGACTTTTGAGGAGGTGGCACTGGATATAAAATGTCTCTGTTATTTTTAGAATTAATGGATTAAAATGTTTTGCTACTTAATTTGTGGGTGTGTCAAATATTCTGGTAACTAAAGCACACTTAGGGGGTTGGATGCACGCCTCATCACGCTGCATTATCTCTGCTAACATGTGTGTCCTGGGCTCACCCTATTCTCACCCTTGGCTTCCCTGGATACCAGACCCCTGAGGATGGAGGTGATACAATTAACCTCAGTGTTGCTTAGATTAAGACCTGAACCCTAATTTCTCAATGGTGAAAGGCTAGCCTACAATAAGAGCTACTTGTAAAACAAAAGGAAAGCCTTTTCATATATGGAACTCACTAGATATGAGGGTGAGTGACCCCACCACATCTGAAACTTGGTCCTCAAATCTTTCTGCACAATAAGAAGCCAAACTCAGAGTCAGCGTTTTCCCTTTTCTGTTAGAAGCAAAGTTGTATAGAAATACTTCAGAATCTGCACAAATTACCTCCAGTAGCTGACTGATTTCTTTAATTCTTTCAACATTCAAAATATCTAATTCAAATATTGTATGCTTTGTTGGAAGTATCTGCTCAAACTTCTTGACTGCTGTAAATATGCATGCAGTTTGCTAATAGACTTCATCTAGGGGATAACAAATGAAAAGGAAACTCGTAGGATCTGAGGGAAATAGAATAAAGGACTTCAGTGTTTCAAAAGGGCGGCTTGTGGTTTTCTTGATATAGTCCTGTCTCTTAGAAAACGTATCCTACCACCAGCATCACCCTGAGTTGCTTATAAAGGGGTTGCCTCTTATCCTTGGAAGGCAAGTCCTGTTCTAAAAGTGCATTAGACATCTGTGTCAGGTGATGTCTGCTGTAGTCTGAGGAGTCCTTGATCTTGATTAAGGAAGGCTTCCTGGGAGAGGTGCACTTCTGAGGCAATGATAAGACAGAGATGAGAGAAATAAAATGGCAGATGGAAGTGGGAGACTGTTCCAGACGTAGTAGGTGGAGGGTGATGAGTAAGGAAAACAGTGCCAAGAGATTTAGCTGGCTAGTACACAAGGAGCAGCTGCGGTGCTTAGGGCTGGGAGGATGGCGGATGGCAGGACAGTCTGATAGAAACCCTGGAACAAGTTGAAGTCTGAAAAACTGACTGGCGAATCAGTAGATTGGATGAAGAAAGTGGCATTGTTGAAAAGAGTGACAGAAAAATAAGGCTGTAATTTCAAATGACTGGATTTTAGAAAGGAGGATTACTATGGTTTTGGTAGGCCCAACTTCACAAAATTTAAGACCTAGAATCCTAGTGGGTTTCTCAAAGATCAAGCCATAATTTTGGGTGAGGAGTACTCTTGAAAGGTGTCGTTAGAAGAGCACTTGCTGACGTTTGGTGTTGATCACTAGCTTAGTACATTATTTCCTTCCATCTTCTTATCACCAAAGGAAGGCCCTTCTTGTTACTAAAAATCCAGAGCTAGCAAGGACGTTCCAAAGAATATTCCATCCTTCCCCTTTTCAGCTAGATGGGATTGGCCATAAACCAACTCCACTAATTTAGGTCCTTCTTGGTGCAGATCACCTCAGAAGAAAGAGAGTTTACTCTGAAACTCAACAACAGTGAACTATGAAATAAAGACCTTTAACTGCTAGGAACTTTATTACAATTTAAAGATTTCTGCTGGAATTTTTTTTTTTTTTTTTTTTGCAGTATGCGGGCCTCTCACTGCTGTGGCCTCTCCCGTTGCGGAGCACAGGCTCCGGACGCGCAGGCCCAGTGGCCACGGCTCACGGGCCTAGCTGCTCTGCGGCATGTGGGATCTTCCTGGACCGGGGCACAAACCCGTGTCCCCTGCATCGGCAGGCGGACTCTCAACCACTGCACCACCAGGGAAGCCCTCTGCTCGAATTTTATGCATATCGTTCTCCTCTGTCCTGGTGGGGAATAGAGAACAAATTTCTTTACGTGTAATGACCCTTTCTTGGGCTTCCCTGGTGGCGCAGTGGTTAAGAATCTGCCTACCGATGCAGGGGACACAGGTTTGAGCCGTGGTCCAGGAAGATCCCACGTGCTGTGGAGCAGCTAAGCCCGTGCACCACAACTACTGAGCCTGAGCCCTAGGCCCGCGAGCCACACTACTGAAGCCCACATGCCTAGAGCCCGTGCTCCACAAGAGAAGCCACTGCAGTGAGAAGCCAGCGCACCGCAACAAAGAGTAGCCCCTGCTCACCACAACTAGAGAAAAGCCCACGTGCAGCAACAAAGACCCAATGCAGCCATAAATAAGTAAATAAGTAAATAAATTTATATTGATCCTTTCTTGTGCCCAAAGACCTCAACTGTCTCTGTTGAGACCAACTATTTATGATTTATCTCTTCTTGGGTTCCAGTTTTCATCCTTTTATTGTTTATACAACTCCCCCCACCCTAACCCCCCTTTTTAAATCTGAACTTAGTTCATTAACCAGTCGCTGCTGAGTGATAACAAGTTTCCCAGTTTTGAGTATTGAGATGCTCAGCTTGTAGTTAGCGGGAAAGGGGAGAAAACCAATGACATTCATCAATAACAAAGTTCTAGTTGGGAAGTCATTCCAGCTTTAGGAAATATGTAGGTATGTGATAAAAACTAAAATGTCCCGTGTGATAAGTCAGAGGCCCAAACTACAAAGAGAAGCTTGGAAAAACTAATTCATATTTACTCCAAAACACTTCGACGGGTCTCCAGCCAGGAGAGCAGTACTGTGTTCTAAACAGCATTCTGGAATATTGCTCATTCATTTTTTTTTTTAACATCCGTATTGGAGTATAATTGCTTTACAATGGTGTGTTTGTTAGTTTCTGCTTTATAACAAAGTGAATCAGCTATACATATACATATATCCCCATATCCCCTCCCTCGTGCGTGTCCCTCCCACCCTCCCTATCCCACCCCTCTATGTGGTCACAAAGCACTAAGCTGATCTCCCTGTGCTATGTAGCTGCTTCCCACTAGCTAGCTATTTTACCTTTGGTAGTGTATATATGTCCATGCCACTCTCTCACTTCGTCCCAGCTTCCCCTTCCCCCTCCCCGTGTCCTCAAGTCCATTCTCTACATCTGCGTCTTTATTCCTGTCCTGCCCCTAGGTTCTTCAGAACCTTTTTTTTTTAAGATTCCATATATATGTGTTAGCATACAGTATTTGTTTTTCTCTTTCTGACTTCACTCTGTATGACAGACTCTAGGTCCATCCACCTCACTACAAATAACTCAATTTCGTTTCTTTTTATGGCTGAGTAACATTCCATTGTATATATGTGCCACATCTTCTTTATCCATTCATCCAATGATGGACACTTAGGTTGCTTCCATCTCCTGGCTATTGTAAATAGAGCTGCAGTGAACATTGTGGTACATGACTCTTTTTGAATTATGGTTTTCTCAGGGTATATGCCCAGTAGTGGGATTGCTGGGTATATGGTAGTTCTATTTGTAGTTTTTTAAGGAACCTCCATACTGTTCTCCATAGTGGCTGTATCAATTTACATTCCCATCAACAGTGCAAGAGGGTTCCCTTTTCTCCACACCCTCTCCAGCATTTATTGTTTGTAGATTTTTTGATGACTTGCCCATTCATTTTTAAAGATGTCTTTATAGATACCTTCTAGATATACACTGTTATTGTTAACACAAAAAGCTTCTCCACAACTTACATGTACCTGGCTTTTTATTTGTTTGAATTTCTATTCCAGAGGTACTGATCTGGAAGCTTTGCTTTCCTTTCCAATGTGTTTAGCCAAATGTGGGTAACCTCTCTCCGATCTGTCAGAAAGGACCACCTCTGGTACAATGGGACACTGCTACATCTGTGGCCCTGTGTAGAAGAGGTAGTCCAGCTAAGATAAAGAATCTCCCTTCAATCAGGCACAATAACCAGCCCTCTTAGTGAAATGTAAGTGATACTGAGCAGGATCTCAGGGCGCAAGGAGAGTCAGAGCAGCCTGGTTAGAATAGTAATGGTCGTGCTGACAAATACTTGCTTTGGGAGAGAGAACAATAGTGAATAGCACTTAACTAGGGAATATTTTGGAACCTAAGTATCCACAAAATACGCATTGGCACTGAGTGTTCATTTGTATGCTGCTTTTGAGGGCTAGGGGGTGGGGACAGGTGAATCATTTCTGAGAAGCTTGGAAAGCCAGTTTATCTAATGGGAGGGAGTTCTTTTTCTATTCATTGTTTGCCTGCTGCCTTGGCTTCTACCAGTTGAGATGCACTGAGATTAACTGCCGTTTGATTTGACTGACCAGGCTTACAAGTCAAGAGACATAGGTATTTAAAGGAAGGATGAATGTCTTGCATCTGACATTAAAATTCCTTTGTCGGGCTTCCCTGGTGGCGCAGTGGTTGAGAGTCCGCCTGCCGATGCAGGGAACACGGGTTTGTGCCCCCGTCCGGGAGGATCCCACATGCCGCGGAGCGGCTGGGCCCGTGAGCCATGGCCGCTGAGCCTGCGCGTCTGGAGCCTGTGCTCCGCAACGGGAGAGGCCACAACAGTGAGAGGCCCGCGTACCGCAAAAAAAAAGAAAAAAGAAAGAAAGAAAAAATTCCATTGTCACTAGGAGTTACTTGCTTGGTATGTGTTGTGTGCTGGGCCCCCTTCCCAGTTAAGAGTAAGAATAAGGAAATTGAGATAAGAATGCAGAAAGGGACCATTAAAAGGTTTAAAACCCCAAATTGAAAGCTACAAAAAATTTGATTTGATAGATGCAGCCCTGAATATCGCCGTACCTCCCCTTGCCTTTGAAAGCCCTAGTTAACCTTTGCCAGCCCAGATTTGTGTCTTTCAGGACTGGAGAATTAAGTCTGATGCACTTATTTTCTACTTTGGAGCACAGGGGATGGATTTCTATGGCACCGAACTAATAATCATTTGGTTGAATTAATCTCACATTCTTAACCAAGCCACACTTTTTTTTCAGCTTTCTCTGGTCTCCCCAGAGGTCTTATGTGGCAGAAAGCTTCCAGGTAGCTTGCTAATAATCTTGCCTTGGTCCAGAGTTATGTGGAACAGAAGTAGCATCTTAGGAAGTGTGGAAAGGAGAAGACCTCACAATTGTTTTAAGAAACCAACACTTTATTAATCAAAGCAAAAACGCTGAAATCACACTTCAGTGAACTGACAGCCAAGTGCCAACTCATGACACTTCCAATGCACCTCTCCTTCCCAGAGAGCTGTCTGCCAAGTACACTCCCTTCATCTGAATTGCTGGCAGTGACCTCTTTTCTCCCATTAAATGATAGATAGCTAACGATTTGGATCCCCCGCCCCTACCCTCCCCATTATCATGACATAAGATATATATTATTTTAAGAAATAAAAAAATGATGGGACCTGCACTGTGAAGCTTAATTTTAATGTTCCCCTACAATATACCCTATCAGAAAACTGACTTTGAGTTGAGGTTGTCTGATGTTTTTACTTCGGTTTACAATCTTAGGATGTTGTCTAAGATGAAAAAGGCAATTTCAGGGTAATTTAATAGCTTTTCCCCAAAAATTATTGAAAAAGGGTGAAAAGTTCCAAAGTGCCATGAAGACACGAGCTCCCAAGTACCAGGAGCCTCAGAGATGGGGGGGGGGAACTGATAGGAACTTTCAGTAAAGGAAGAGAGGGCAGCAGTGTCCCAGCCCTTACCCCATGGGAACTTGCTTTGCTTTGGAGAGGTGGAACAGTTTTCCCACACAG